ATATTTGCCGGCGTGGCCGCGGGACGATCGGACAAAAAAGAAATGATACGTGGGATCTTGGTAAAAACTGCCGGTGTTCTGGCCGCAATCGGCCTCATGGGCGATGCTGCTTTGGCGCAGGAAGAAAAGCAGCTCAGGATCGGTTTCATGGCAACCTTGTCGGGACCGGCCGCCATTTACGGCGAACACATGCGTGACGGCTTCATGCTTGCGGTCAATCAGTCCAATGGAGCGCTTGGCGGCCTGCCGACAAATGTCCTCGTCGTCGACGACAAGCTCGACGCGGACTATGCAGTCGAGCAGGTCACGAAGCTGATCGACAAAAACGGCATTGATCTTCTCGTTGGCGTAAATTTTTCAAAGGTAATGCTGGCCGTCCACGATCCCGTCGTAAGATCCAGAACCTTGTTTATCGGAACAGGATCCGGTCCAGCGCCGATTGCCGGCCGCGATTGCAATCGCTACTTCTTTTCCACCGCGTCGCAGGACGATCAGGTTCATGAAACCATGGGCCGCTATGCCAGCCTCAAGGGATACCAGCAGGTTGTGACCATTGCCCCGGATTATGAGGCCGCCCGCGACGCGATCGCGGCTTTCCGCCGACATTTCAAGGGTCAGATAGCCCGGGAAATCTTTCCCAAGCTGGGACAAACCGATTTTTCGGCCGAATTTGACCAGATCGCGGGAATTGAACCGGACGCAATATACGCATTCATGCCTGGAGGGATGGGAGTGGAACTGGTCAGGCAGTTTCAGACATCTGGAATAAAGGGCATCATTCCCTTTCTGTCGTCCCAGACCGTGAACGGGGTGACATTGCCACATTCAAAGGAGACGGGAGAGGGGCTGTTTTCGGCATCTCACTGGGCACCAAACCTCGACAATCCGGCCAACAAACGGTTCGTTCGCGAATTCGGCCGTGCGTACGACTACGCGCCCTCCGTCTATGCCGCGCAAGGGTATGATGCAGCAAAGCTGATTCACTTTGCGCTTGAGTTGACTGGCGGCGTGAAGGATCAGGAAGCAATGCTTTCAGCCATTCACGCAGCCCCTTTCGAAAGTGTTCGCGGAGATTTCCGCTTCAATTCCAACCAGTTTCCGATCCAGGACTTCTATCTGGTGGAAGGCGTCAGGCGCACCAGCAGGCTCTATGAGATGGAAGCGATTGCCCGCGTTTTCGATGACGTTGGGGATGCGTTTTCTGGCTCGTGCCGCATGTGACCTGACAGGGGAGCTGTATTCCCACCACCTTTTTGAAACGGATAGTCCACAAATTGGTTTCGAGGGTCTTGCATTCCGGACTGTACGGTCCATATCATGGTGCATGACGAATACGAGTGCTCAGTCCCCGACATCGAAAAGCCGCCCGGCCGGACCGGGACGGCCGCGTAATTTTGACGAGGCGACTGCTCTGGAACAAGCATTGTTCGTCTTCTGGAAAAAAGGCTACGAGGCCACTTCGCTGGAAGATCTCACAAAGGCGATGGGCTTGAGCAGGTCGAGTTTTTATGCAGCCTTCGACAGCAAGCAGGCCCTTTTTCTGAGGGCCTTGGAGCATTACTCGCGCAACGGGCTTCGCAACTTGAAAGATGTGGCGGAGACGTCTGACGGAAATCCCGTGGAAGCAATGATGCAGGCTCTCTCCGACCCGCAGGGCGGGTCGAAAGGCTGCATGCTGGTTAACTGTATAACGGAGCTGGCACCGCATGACGCAGAAGTTGCCGAAATCGGCCGCCGGCATCTCGAGAAGATCGAGGAGATTTTCGCGCAGGTTCTTGACCCCGCCAATCCGGATGCCGTTCGCGACAGGGCGCGCGCCTATTCATCACTTGCGATCGGAACGCTTGCGCTTCGAAAGGCTGGATTTTCGGCAGATCGCATAGCCGATACCCTGAAACAAGCACAAACAATTCTTACTGCCTGACAAGAAATGTCCGGTGGAATGAGTGCAACACTGCCTGTGATAATCCAGGCTCATTTATGGACCGAATGTTCCATAAATAGATTTGGCAACTTAAACGACAGAAAAAGGAACCGATAATGTCTGACGCAAAACTGTTCGCACCCGCCAGGGCTGGCGCGATTGAGTTGAAAAATCGCATTGTCATGGCACCGCTGACACGCAATCGGGCGAGACCTGAAGACGATGCTCCGATCGAATTGCATGCTGAGTATTACGGACAGCGCGCAGGTGCAGGGCTGATCATCACGGAAGCTTCGCAAATTTCGCCACAAGGAAAGGGATATGCCTGGACCCCGGGCATTCATTCGGACGCACAGGTGGAAGGCTGGAAAAAAGTGATTGACGCCGTGCACGCAAAAGACGGCAAGATCGTCATCCAGCTCTGGCATGTCGGCCGGATTTCACACCCCGTATTGCAGCCTGGTGGAGCCGACCCCGTTGCTCCGTCGGCTATTGCAGCGAATTCAAAGACATTCGACGGAACACAGTTCGTTGACACTCCCAGCCCCCGCGCTCTGGAAACGCACGAAATTCCCGGAATTGTCGAAGACTACCGAAAGGCGGCTGAAAACGCCAAGGAGGCCGGCTTTGACGGGATTGAGGTGCATGCAGCGAATGGATATCTGATCGACCAGTTCCTGAGGGACGGGTCCAATAAACGGAGCGATCAGTATGGCGGTTCGATTGAAAACCGAACGCGCTTTTTGAAGGAAGTCATGGATGCGGTCGTCGCGGTCTGGGGTGCTGACAGGGTCGGCGTCCGTCTGAGCCCGTTCTCCAATGCCAATGATATATCAGACAGCAACCCGCAGGAAACGTTCTCCCATGCCATCAGGCTTTTGAACGGGTATGGGCTTGCATATCTTCATCTGGTCGAAGGCCAGACGGGCGGGCCCCGGGACATACCCGAAGGCGGAAGTCTTGCAGCGCTCTATGCGCTCTTTGAAGGGGCGAAGATGGGCAACAACGGCTATGACCGGGACTTGGCAATCGATGCCGTTCACTCGGAGGCAATCGATCTTGTCGCGTTTGGTCGCCCCTTTATTTCAAACCCGGACCTGGTCGACAGGCTTGCAAATGCTTCACCGCTGAACGCACTGGATCCAGAGACCCTCTATGGCGGTGGAGAGAAGGGCTACACGGATTATCCGACATTGGCCGAAAGCTCCGTAGCAGCATAACAACAGTTGCCTCTTTCAGGCTGTCCGACATCCACCCCTCCGGGGCAGTCTGATAGATAGCCGGTACAGGTCCTCCACCTGTGCCGGCTTTCTTTTCATGCGAATTGCCCAGATAACTTCACCCGATCAGCATAGAGGACCGCGCACCAGGTGCCGAGGCAAACCTCGATGCCCATGGCAACAAGCAGGGATACGGGAGGCAGGCCGTCGAGCGGCAGGCTTATCAGCCGGCCGATGCCATAGGACAAGAGCAGCCCGGCGGATGCGAGCAAGGCAGGTCGCTCGAGTGCCTGCCTGAAGAGACCGCATAACGCGAGTATCCCTGCCAGCAGGATAAAAACACCCGGGGCCCGTATTTCGCTCATCATGGCGGCGGAAGGATCGAGCACGAGCCCGTTGAGCGCATATAGTGACGCGGGGAAAAACGTGACCAGCGTGCCAACTGGCAAAAGGGTGAATGCGGACAGTCCAAGCGCGATTTTTCTGTTCGGATTTGACATGAGAGATCTCCAAATAATTATCTGCGCCTTCAATTTGTACGGGATGCTTCGGATTTTCTATGTCTTGATATCTGAAAAAACTTGCAGTTCATCCAGAAAACTGGATCCTGCATATTCGGTTTGGGGAGGTATCCGTGACAGCAACAGATCAGTTGACACCGTCGTCACCAGCGACAATGGCAGATCCGCTTGGAGACGTTTTTCATCTGCTCAGACTGACCGGGACTTTTTATTGTGCTCCCGAGCTGAGGGAGCCTTGGGGCATTGATGTGCCCGATCTCGCGGAACGGATGGTTCTCGTTGCAGTCACGGAGGGGGCATGTGTGCTCTTTCTTGAGGACGAGACAGAGATCGAACTGAGGCCCGGTCAGTTGATACTTCTCCCTCACGGGCGGCCGGTGAAACTGAAAAGCTCAAGGGACGTGACCGCCACCCCACTTTTCGACATCCCCGCCAAACGGCATAGTCCGAACTACGAAACCATGATCTTTGGTGGCAGTGGTCGTCTCACGCGTATGATCTGCGGCGTATTGCGGGTTGATCATGCCGTGGCAAAAAGGTTGATCGATCTGCTGCCGTCCAAGATTTTCCTCGACACTTTCGATCAGGGCGCAAGCACCTGGCTTCACAGCACACTCCGGTATCTGGCAGAAGAAGCCGGAGACCCCAGGCCAGGGGGTGAGGTGGTGCTGACACGCCTGGCCGACATCTTGGTGGTCCAGGCGATCCGAAGCTGGCTTGAAAAGTCGGATGGGCACGAGGCCGGATGGATCGGCGCTCTCCGGCATCCGAAACTCGGACGCGCCCTGCAGGCCTTTCACCGCGAGCCTCATATCAACTGGACGGTCGCAAGGCTTGCAAGGTGCGCCGGTATGTCGAGATCGGCCTTTTCTGCCAGGTTCAAGGAAATGACAGGAGAAGGGGCCATGCAATACGTGACGCGCTGGCGCATGCAGCTGGCCTGGACCGAATTTCAGGATGGAGAGATGTCACTCAGTCAGGTTGCAGCGCAGCTTGGTTACGATTCTGAAGCGGCCTTTTCACGGGCATTCAAACGAGTTACCGGGCACACACCCGGATCGGTGCGCCGGGTGTCGCGCTAGGCCCCGGGAGTTACCGGGCGCGCCGGGCGTTTCAATTGGAAGCAACCGTACCGGAGCGTACTCTTTTTGTGTTTTCAGACCTTTCGTTCTGGTCAAAAACCTGTCAAACCCCATATCAAATCAAATTCGGGCGCGGGTTTTCTGCCGGTATCAGCAACCATATTCAAGCTGATACGGCCGGATTGTCTGCAGACTTTGGGAGAGACGAGATATGCCCCCGTATCGTTCCAGAACTTCCACTCATGGCCGCAACATGGCCGGTGCGCGCGGCCTTTGGCGTGCGACAGGTATGAAGGACGATGATTTCGGCAAGCCGATCATCGCAATATCCAATTCCTTTACCCAGTTTGTGCCCGGACACGTTCACCTGAAGGACCTCGGCCAACTTGTCGCGCGCGAAGTCGAAAAGGCTGGTGGCGTTGCCAAGGAATTCAACACGATCGCGGTGGATGATGGTATCGCCATGGGCCATGACGGCATGCTTTATTCGCTGCCGTCCCGCGAAGTGATTTCCGATGCGGTTGAATATATGGTCAACGGCCATTGCGCCGATGCCCTGGTGTGCATTTCCAACTGCGACAAGATCACGCCGGGCATGCTGAACGCGGCCATGCGGTTGAACATTCCTGTTGTGTTCGTCTCTGGCGGACCTATGGAGGCAGGCAAGGTTGTCCTGGAGAACGGTGTACAGAAATCTGTCGATCTGGTGGACGCCATGGTCGCAGCGGCAGATGACAGGATGTCCGATGCCGATGTCCTTGCATTGGAGCAAAACGCGTGTCCGACCTGCGGTTCGTGTTCGGGGATGTTTACGGCGAACTCGATGAACTGTCTGACGGAAGCACTCGGCCTGGCGTTGCCCGGCAATGGCTCCACACTCGCAACCCATGCGGACCGCGAGCGGCTCTTTGTCGAAGCCGGTCACCTGATCGTCGATCTCGCCAAACGCTATTACGAGCAGGATGATGAAAGTGTTCTGCCGCGTAACATCGCGAATTTCAAGGCGTTCGAAAATGCCATGACCCTCGATATCTCGATGGGGGGGTCGACCAATACGATCCTGCATCTTCTGGCCGCATCCTATGAAGGGGAAATCGGCTTTACGATGGATGACATCGACCGGCTGTCGCGGCAGGTGCCTGTGCTTTGCAAGGTCGCCCCGGCGGTGGAAAGTATCCATATGGAAGATGTTCACCGGGCCGGCGGCATCATGGCTATCCTTGGTGAACTGGATCGCGCCGGAAAACTGCATACCGACAATCCGACAGTTCACTCCTCAACGATGGGGGAAGCTCTTGCACGTTGGGATATCCGTCAGACCAATTCCGAAAGCGTGCACAATTTCTACAAGGCTGCCCCTGGCGGTGTGCCGACGCAGGTTGCCTTCAGTCAGAACCGGCGGTGGGACGAACTCGATCTTGACCGCCAAACGGGCGTCATTCGCGAAGGCGAGCATGCCTACAGCAATGACGGCGGCCTTGCGGTGTTGTACGGCAACATTGCCGAAGAAGGCTGTGTCGTAAAAACCGCAGGGGTTGACGATAGCATACTCAAGTTTACCGGTCCGGCGCGTATCTTTGAAAGTCAGGACAGTGCGGTTTCGGCGATTCTGACGAACAAGGTCAAATCCGGTGACGTTGTGCTGATCCGCTACGAGGGACCGCGTGGCGGGCCCGGCATGCAGGAAATGCTCTATCCGACCAGTTACCTTAAATCGAAGGGGCTGGGCAAGGAATGCGCACTGGTGACGGACGGGCGTTTTTCCGGTGGAACCTCTGGCCTTTCGATCGGCCACATGTCTCCGGAGGCAGCAGAAGGTGGCGCTGTCGGCCTGGTGGAAGAAGGCGACACAATCGTTATCGACATCCCGAACCGGGTCCTGAAAGTCGACATTTCCGATGACGAACTGGCACAACGCCGCGCCGCAATGGAAGCGAGGGGTGACAAGGCCTGGAAGCCGATCGAAACGCGCAAGCGCAAGGTCACCAAGGCATTGCGTGCTTACGCCAAGATGACGACAAGTGCGGCCAAGGGGGCGGTCAGGGAAGTGGACTGAGTCGCCTCGATTTTGACGAACAGGAGACAAGGGCGGGTTGACTGATCCGCCTTTTTTGCGTGATGCATTGCCAATGGGTGCACGCTACCACATATCCGGCTGACTTTCCTGCTGTGTTACCCACGGACCAATAAATGGATTCACTCACTCAATTTGTTCTCGGTGCCGCCGTTTCAACCGCCTGCCTCGGACCAAAGATCGGACCACGCAAGGCAGTGTTGGTGGGTGGACTGCTCGGCACATTGCCGGATCTGGATGTGTTTATTCCGTTTGACGACCCCATCGACAGTTTCGTTTACCACCGCGGCTGGTCGCATTCGATCTTCGTCCATGCCTTGGCCGCGCCGGTAATCGGTGAAGCATTGATGAGATTGTTCAAAGGCTTGCGGGATCAACGCTGGTTGACATGGGGAGCGGTTTTTCTTGTCCTGTCGACGCACGCGATCATCGACGCGATGACAGTTTATGGCACAAGGCTGTTCTGGCCGTTTTACCCGGACCCGGTGGGTGTCGGCTCGGTGTTCATTATCGATCCGGTTTACACGATCCCGCTGGTCGTCGTGGTGATCTATGCACTGTGCAAGAAAAACTGGACGTCACGACTTCGAAACTGGGTCGCAGGCGCATTGGTGTTGACGACTGGTTATCTTGGCCTCAGCGCTGTGCTTCAGCAATATGTGCAGTCTCAGGCGCGATCGGTGTTTCAGAGCCAGGGCATGGAACCGGATGCCGTTTACGCGATTGCTGCGCCTTTCAATATTTTGCTCTGGAAAGTCATCGGATTGCGGGAAGACGGCTACGACAACCTGTATTTCTCTTTGCTCGACGGCAAAGGCGCACCTGAGATTTATGAGCATCCCCGGCATCCGGAATTGGCGGCATGCCTGACGAATACAGCTGCCTTCAAAAAGCTGGAATGGTTCAGCAGGGGATTTTTCAGGACAGAGCTTGTCGGAGACAAGGTTGTCGTTTCGGATCTGCGCATGGGCCTGACCCCTGGCTACGCCTTTCGTTTCGCGATCGGCCAGGTCGGCCAAAACGGCATTCAGCCGATTGCGCCGCTCCGTGATTCCGGCCTGGCGCGGATTGATGCCGATGACTGGGACTGGTTCGTGGAGCGGCTCCAGGGACGACCGAGTATCAGAAAAGCGGAAGCCAACACAGGTGATGCATTGAACGTTCTGGCTTCGGCAAGCTGCAATGCGGGCGGGGCCCTCTCCGGATAAACGGCGGGCCCGGTTCTTAGTCGTTCAAACCGGACTCGGCCAACGGAACAAGGGCCGTTTCACCCAGGAGAGCATCGGGGTCGTGAATGGCGGGGACCTGCTGGCAATCCGCCGACTGAGCCTCGTTTTCGTCCTGGTGCTCCTTGAGCGCCGCGCAGATCGGTATCGCTGCCTGCCGTGTACCACCGGCTGCCACACTCATCACATCCAGCAGGGAGCCATCCGTTTCATGAAGCGCCGACGCAAGGTGCTTCGCAAACAGCGATATTGTCCGATCTGCCGAATAGTTGGCGGCCTGTCCGGCACCTGCCGAGGAAACCAGCGCTTCGGGACGTTCCTTGTGGTCGACCCTGTGTGCGTCGAATAGGTGCATATTGACCGCATAGGAGTTGTTGGTATCAAGAACAAGGATAACCTCGGCGGCCGGAATAGTGTGGATCATCGCCGCAAAGGCTGGCGCTGATACCCACGTGCCCTCGCTGATTGCATCTGTTGCTGTTTCGGGGCGTTGGTCTGCCCAGAACTCGAGCACGTAGCCATTGGTCTCGCCCGAAGGATCATCATCCTTCTGGCCCAGAGGCAGGTTGGCATAGATGATCAGACGATCTTCCGGACCAAGACGATTGGCCAGCTCCGTGGCCTTTCGCTTCAAGGCGGACGCATTGGCACCTTCGTTGATGAGAAGGTGAATGTTGTCCGGACCGGCATCAAGCCTCGGACCCAAAGCACTCACCACCTTGTCCAGGCTGTTGCGGCAAATTTCAGGCGATTGAGGGTTCCACGGCGGACAATTTCCAATTCCAAGGATATGGTTTTTCAGTCCGGTATCCTCTTGGGCATTTGCTCCTGCTGCCAGAGCAAAGACCGCGGCAGCGCACACGAGCAAGGAAGCGCCGGCCTTTTTGCAGCGCGGCCTGTCAAACCATGCAGATTTCCTGTCGGCGCCGCCCGTCATTGTTTCTCCCGAGACCCCGTGTTGTCGGATCCTGTCTGTTATAATGCCACCCGGTGAAGACAGTGCAAAATCAAACCTGGAATTCAATAGAACTCGGTTGCAGTCCGTTAATCAACTTTCTTTTCAACCCAAGATGTTCCATGAAACCAAATCTGTTCAGTATCACTTGGTATGTTCGGGTGATCTGACAGACTGTAGAATTCCTTCAGACAAAATTCGTTCAACCTTGCAATTGCTTGAGTTTTTCTACGATGTGTATCGTGTCGTCTGTCAATGTTCCCGTATCGGCGTTGCCGACAAGTGAAACCATCTGGATTAGGTCCGGAATCGTGTCGCGACCGCCAAGGTGAACTGTTCTCTTGATCAGGCGGCGGATCATGTCGTCGGGATTGCTGCTTTGATTGGCAAGCCACCTTGAGAACAGGTAAAGGTCGTCGGCTTCCGCAGCAGACATCTGAAACACGGTTTGCAGTTGCTCCAGGATGGCGTCTTGTTCTGCCCGCGAGATGCCGCCGTCCGTCTCGGCTGTCAAAACCAGCAATGTAGCAGCCGTCACCCGTGGATCATCGACGCCTTCGGTCGGATGCTGATTGGCACGGGTCCGAAAACCGAAGCGCCGGGCCGCAGATTTGACGTCTTGGGCCGCTTCCAGAACAACTCGTGTGCTGTCGGCCGCCTGGCGGGCCCGGTAGATCCAGAACGCAGCGCCTGCGAGGGCGGCAAGAATTGCGAGCAGAATATGCAAAGGGTGTCTCCTTCAATTTCCACTCGCATCCTTAGCGCAAATACCGCCAACGTGTCTTGACAAAAATTACAAGGCGTCTTCGCGTTCGCGGCTCTTCGCCGAAACGAGCCGGCTGACAACATTTTCGATGATCATGTGACCTGCGTCCTGATCCAGTGACATGATGGATTCCGGGTGGAACTGCACCGCGGCAATGGCCTCTTTTTCATGCTCAATCGCCATCACGACACCATCCTCGGTCTCCGCCGTCACCCGAATATCTCCTGGCAGGGTAGGCCTTTTCGCAAACAGCGAATGATAGCGGCCGACGATCACCGGCGCATTGAGGCCGTCAAAGAGGAGGGAATTCCCGGAAATGCTGATCGGTGACGGTTTGCCGTGCATTGGAATATCCAGTTGGCCGAGTTCCGCACCGAAATACTCCGAAAGTGCCTGCAGTCCGAGGCAGACGCCGAAGATCGGCAACGCGCGGGCGCGGGCTCGACCGATCGTCGCTGCGCAGTCGAAGTCCTTAGGGTTGCCGGGGCCTGGTGACAGAACAACCAGGTCCGGATTGACGTCGTGAAAGACATGGTCGGCAACCGGCGTTCTGTAGGTGACGACGTCGGCGCCCGTTTGCCGGAAATAATTCGCAAGCGTGTGCACAAAACTGTCTTCGTGATCCACGAGCAGGATCTTGAGGCCCTCGCCAGGCTTGTGGGTTTCAGTCGTTTCGGTGGAACGGGTCGCCAGGCCGGCTTCGCGAACCGCCGCACGCATGGCTTCTGCCTTGAGTTCGGTTTCCGCTTCTTCGTCTTCCGGAACACTGTCGTAAAGCAGTGTTGCGCCAGCCCGGATCTGCGCCAGTCCGTCCTTGATGCGGACGGTCCGCAGTGTCAGGCCGGTGTTCATGTCGCCATTGAAGAGAACGGCACCGATGGCCCCACCGTACCAGGCACGCGGTGACTTTTCGTGATCCTCGATGAACTGCATCGCCCACCGTTTCGGCGCCCCTGTCACTGTGACGGCCCAGGTATGGGAGAGGAAGGCGTCCAGCGCATCCATGTCCTCGCGAAGAGTACCTTCGATATGATCCACCGTGTGGATCAGCCGGGAATACATTTCAATCTGCCGCCGCCCAATCACCTTGACTGAGCCTGGGACACAAACCCGGCTCTTGTCGTTTCGGTCGACGTCGGAACACATGGTCAGCTCCGCCTCGTCCTTTGCCGAATTCAACAGCTTGCGGATCTGCGCCTCGTCCTCGATCGCGTTCTTGCCGCGTCGGATCGTGCCGGAGATCGGGCAGGTTTCCACGCGTCGGCCACCTGTGACACGCACATACATTTCCGGCGAAGCCCCGACGAGGTACTCGTTGTTGCCGAGGTTGAAAAAGAACGAGTAGGGGGAAGGGTTGATCTGGGCAAGGCGCCTGGAAACAGCCGAGGGCGGGTTGGCACAGGGTTCATAGAATGTTTGCCCCGGAACGGTCTCGAACAGATCGCCCCGCCGGAAGTAATCCTTCGCCTTTTCAACAAGTTCGGCATATTCACCCGGCTCATGATCTCCCCGGCCAGGGTCTTTGTTCGCCGGTGCATAGGAACTTTGTTCGCCCGTTCGCTCCAGGTCTTTCGTGGTCTTGCCGTTGACCACAAAATCGTATTCAAGCACATAGGCTCGTTTTCCGTGGTGGTCGACAATCAGGATTTCGTCGGGGAGAAACAGAACGACATCACGCTGATCGTGAGGTCTTTCCAGCTTCTGGTCGATCGGTTCGAACTGGAAGGCCACATCATAACCGAAGGCTCCGTAGAGGCCGAGCTGGTCATCGCCACAGGCAAAAAGGTCCTTCAGCGCGCGAACGATTGAAAATGTCGACGGCTGGCGGGAGCGCTCCTCTTCATTGAAGAGGCGATCCGGTTTCTTGACGGTAAGTTCGATCCTGTCAGAGCCGGCATCAAAGGTTTCAACAACATCGTGTGTCCGCAAGGCCTCGACGATTGCAGGTATGAGAACCTTGCCGCGATCGTTCAAGGCCCGTATCTCGACCTTTCGGTCGGCAGCCTCCAGAACAAGAGGGGGATTGACCAGCGCCATGTCCCAGCGGGTGTAGCGGCCGGGGTACTCGTAGGACGAAGAAAGAACCGCGCCCAATTCGCTGTCGAGCCGGTCGATCCAGTCGGACGTTCCGGTTTCGTAGTCGGAGGGGCGTGAGGTCCGAAGGATCGTAATCCCGCTTTCGGTTTCATAGGTCTGATCTGCCAGTACCGGCATGGTCTTTCCGTTCCCGTTTCTGGTGGCCGTTTGCGGCGTTGGCGGCCTCTTAATGCACCAAGGCCGCCAGCGGTATCCCGCGGCGGCCTTTGGTGAATTGCTTGATCCTTTCAGAGCATGACTGTTCGCTGGCCGCCTATGTCGCGCCGCGCCACCACCATACTGCTTTCAGGCTCGTCTTCATGAGACGACGCATAGCCGAAGCGCGATGGGAAGGCAATGGTCTATTGACCGGGAAGGAAAAAACAGTCGTTTTTGATCAGTTTGCGGTCTTGGTCCACGCGTTATTTTCGCGAGCTCTTGACCCGGGAACAAAGATGCTGTCTTGCAGTGCCTCGACAGACAGAAACGCCAAGGAGAATCGGCGGGAAAACGGCGCGTTGGTCGAACGGCATTGAGGGGCACATGGAACACTACGATCTTATCGTGATCGGCAGCGGGCCGGCGGGCCGTCGGGCTGCGATCCAGGCAGCAAAATTCGGGCGCGACGTACTCGTGGTGGAACGGGGCCGCAGGGTCGGTGGTGTCTCGGTTCACACCGGAACAATCCCCTCAAAAACACTGCGAGAGACTGTTCTGAATCTGACGGGATGGCGCGAGCGCGGATTTTACGGAAGCTCCTATCGTGTCAAGCAGGACCTGACCGCCGCCGATCTCAGGGCGCGGCTCCACATCACGCTCAACCACGAAGTGGATGTGCTTGAGCATCAGTTCTCCCGCAACAAGGTCGACACGGTCCGGGGTGAGGCACGCTTTGTCGAGAGCCACATGATCGAGGTGGAAGGCGATGCCGGGGAGATCCTGAAATACAGCGCGGACAAATTTGTCATCGCCGTCGGGACAAACCCCTTTCGTCCCGGCTATGTTCCCTTCGACGGGAAATTCGTGCTCGACAGCGATGAGATTCTCGATCTGGGCGAGATCCCACGCTCGATCGCCGTTATCGGGGCAGGGGTTATCGGCGTGGAATATGCCTCCATCTTCTCCGCTCTCGACGTTCACGTGACACTCATCGAACCCCGGGAAACGATGCTGGATTTTCTGGACAAGGAACTTGTCGCCGATTTCACCCATCAATTGCGGGATCGCGGAATCGCCATGCGCTTCGGAGCCAAGGTTGAAGCAATTGAAAAGCATGGTTCTGCGGATTGCGAGATCAAGCTGGAAGGGGGGCGGAGTGTTCGCTCCAACGTCATCCTGTTTGCCGCCGGCCGCATGGGCGCGACACCGTCTCTCAATCTGGACAGTTGCGGTTTGTCGGTTGACCACCGTGGCCGCCTCGAAGTCGATCCCGAAACGTTTCAGACGGAAGTCTCACATATCTTTGCCGCCGGCGATGTGATTGGTTTTCCGAGCCTCGCCTCGACATCGATGGAGCAGGGGCGTATCGCTTCGTGCCATGCGCTTGGCGAAGCGGCCCACGATCCACCCGAGTATTTTCCTTACGGGATCTACGCGGTTCCTGAAATCTCGACCGTCGGCATGACGGAAGAGGAAATCAAGGAACGCGGAATTCCCTATGAGTGCGGTGTTGCAAGGTTTCGCGAAACGTCACGCGGGCACATCATGGGCCTTGATACGGGTATGCTCAAGATGATCTTTTCCCTGAAGACCAGGCGGCTACTTGGCTGCCATATTGTCGGAGAAGGGGCAACCGAACTGGTTCATATCGGTCAGGCAGTCCTGAACCTTCGCGGCACGTTGGAATATTTTGTCGAAAACACCTTCAACTATCCGACACTTGCCGAAGCATACAAGATTGCCGCGCTCGATGCGTGGAACCGGATGCCGCCTTTGGAAGATTAGATTTCCGACAAATCGCTGAAAGTGTTTCCTCTTTTGACAACATAGTTCTGGGACAACTTAGCAGATACGCTTGGCCGCGACCTGAACCTGAGTCGAATTGATGCGAAGGGCAGCCATGGGCCGGACACTGCTTCTGAAGAATGCCGACATCCTTGTCACGATGGATGACGAGCGCCGTGAAATCGAAAATGGCGGGCTCTTTGCCGAAGACGGAATGCTCACACAGGTCGGGCCCACCGAGGAACTGCCGAAGACCGCCGACAAAGTGATCGACGCGACCGGCCAGATTGTTCTGCCGGGTTTCGTCAACACTCACCATCACCTCAACCAGACGCTCACGCGCAATCTTCCCGCAGCGCAAAACAACAACCTCTTTCCCTGGCTTCAGGCCCATTACCGGATCTGGGCGAAGACCCACCCGGAAGCGTCCCGAAACAGCGCTCTCGTCGGTCTTGCAGAACTTGTGCTGTCGGGCTGTACCACTGTTTTCGACCATTCCTATCTCTTTCAGAGTGGCAACAAGGTGGACTATCAGATCGAAGCGGCCCGGGATCTCGGTGTCCGTTTCCATGCAAGCCGTGGCTCGATGTCGCTGGGCGAGAGCAAGGGCGGATTGCCGCCGGACGACTGTGTTGAGGAAGAAGATGACATACTGAGAGACAGCATCCGGGTGATAGACCGCTATCATGATGCGTCCCCGGGATCGATGACCCGGATTGTGGTCGCTCCGTGTTCGCCGTTTTCGGTGTCGGAAGACCTTTTGAGGGAAAGTGCACGCCTGGCGCGTGACAAGGGCGTCATGCTGCACACGCATCTGTGCGAGACGCTGGATGAGGAACGCTACACCCTTGAGCGTTTCGGCAAACGTCCCGTGGAGTGGATGGAAGGTCTTGACTGGACCGGCCCCGATGTCTGGTTCGCCCATGCAATCCATGTCGACGACGAGGAAATTCGCCTGTTCGCGGGCACCGGCTGCGGGGCGGCACACTGCCCATGTTCCAACATGCGGCTTGCCTCGGGTATTGCGCCGGTCAAGAAGTATATGGCAGCGGGTGTGAAGGTGGGGCTGGGTGTTGACGGCTCTGCCAGCAATGACGGGTCCAATATGCTTGGAGAAGTGCGACAGGCCATGCTGCTCGCCAGACTGCAGCTGGGACTGATGCCACCCGAAGGCCCCCGGAAGCATGCACTGCTGCCGCCTTCACATCCGTTGCGCGCTGGTGAATGGATGACTGCGCGGGAAGCTCTGGAACTTGCCACGAGAGGCGGCGCCGCGGTGCTGGGTCGGGACGATATTGGTTCTTTGGAAACAGGCAAGTGTGCTGATTTCTTCACCCTGGATCTCAACACGCTTCAATTTGCAGGCGGACTGCATGATCCCGTCGCTGCGGTCGTCTTTTGTTGCCCGCAAGGGGCTTCAACAACCGTCGTCAACGGCAAGGTCGTGGTCGATGACGGGCAGATCGTCACAATGGAGATGGGCAAGGTCGTCACCGATCATAACCGGATGAGCCTCGAACTTGCCGCGGGACACTAGCGGGATAGCTTTGTTGCGGTAATTGTGGTCCCGGACCGATCAATTGCTGTTGGTCGATTTTAATCAGCAGAGCCAGCAATTTTCCGGCAAGACAGCAGCCGTGACGGCTTGGCCGTCTCCGATCCAGCTCATGATGCCACTTTCGACATTGACGACATTTGTAAAGCCGGCTTGCTCCGACAGGTACTGGGACAAGACCTTGCTACGGGCTCCTGTCCGGCAGATGAGCACAACCTCATCCTCGGGACCGGCGACAAGCTTCTGGAGCGAAGCGCCGAAATCCGGGTTCACATTGCCGTTTTCATCGAAAAAGGTCACGAGATGGCTACCGGCAACAACCCCGGTCTGTTTCCACTCGTCAGGCCTCCGGATATCGATTACGGTCGCGCCGGACGCAAGTTTTTCCTTCAGTTCGTCATTGCCGATATCGGAAAATTTCTTCCCTTTGACGTCCAGAAGCTCGATTTCGAACTTGAGCGTCGCATCAGGTGGAATGACGCCGCCTGCGCCGCGGGAGCCGTAGGCCATGTCAGGTGGAATGATCAGCTCACGCTTGCCGCCGACCTGCATGCCTTCAACGCCTTTTTCCCATCCGGGAATGACACGGCGTTCACCAAGCGTGAAGGAGAAGGGTTGTCCTCGGTCCACACTGGAATCGAACTTGGTCCCGTCCATCAGCCAGCCGGTGTAGTGAACGACGACGGTTTCGCCAACATTGGCTTCCTCGCCACTGCCTTTTTCGATATCCCGTATCTGCAGTTCGCTTTGCGCTGCCGCGGGAAAGATCATGAATGCAGATATCAGAAGAGTGGACAGCCACTTAATCATCACGCTTGTTCCATAAATTGCCGGAAAGATGTTCGAAGACAGTCGGCGATCATTCGCCGGATTGCAAGTCACGCTACTTGAACGGGACATCAATTGAAAAGGAACTAATCGATGATGTGGCGCTTTGGCACAATCCTTGTCGCGGTCTTTGCTGTCCAAGTGACGGGTGCGGCACATGACACGCATGTTTCGGCTGCTGAGCTTGAAGTGTCCTTGCCGATCGATTGCGACTTCGGACAGGACTGTTTTATCCAGAACTACGTTGATATTGATCCGGGACCGGACGTTCAGACCGCCACATGCGCGCAGGCCGGCTATGACGGTCACAAGGGCACGGATTTCCGGGTATTGAACACCAACCAGAATGCCGGCGTCATCGCCTCCGCGCCCGGCGTCGTAAAGGGTGTTCGAAACGACATGCCGGACAGGCTCGTTCAATCAGCAGAAGATAGAAAGCGGATCGAGGGCAAGGAGTGCGGCAACGGAGTGGTGATTTCCCACGGGAACGGCTGGGAGACCCAGTATTGCCACATGCGGCAAGGTTCAGTGATTGTTTCCAGCGGAGATCGTGTCGAGCGCGGCGATGTCCTCGGCGAGGTCGGTTTTTCCGGTTTCGCCGCCTTTCCGCATGTGCATCTTTCCTTGAGGAAGGACGGCCAGGTTGTCGACCCGTTCCTTGGGCATCCGGAAGCCGCAGAGGATCGTCTTGCGCGGTGTGCGTCCGTTGCAGAGGCAAAGGCGGCTTACGACGGTTCGCTCTGGCAAGGTGACCTCGTTGCATTGTTGAAGGATGCCGACGGCGAGATCATTCAGACCGGGTTTGCGGACAGTGCGGTCAAGTCGATTGATCTGGAAACGGGAACCGAAGCCGAACCCGGGACCCGGTCTCCTGTTTTTGTCTTTTTCGCGCGACTGATAAATCTGAAGAAAGGTGATCGGGTTGCGCTTCGTCTCGTCGGCCCCGAAGGCGTCATGGCGGAATCGGAAGGCGAACCGCTCGAGCGGCAAAAGGCACAATGGGTTGCCTTTGCCGGCCGCAAGCTGAGGGGAGAGGCCTGGCCTGCTGGCGAATATGTCGGCACGGCCATGCTGATCAGAAACGAGCAGATCTTCCGGCAGGAAACGACCTTGTTCTCGCTGGGAAATCCGTAAACAGTTCACGTGCGGCAATGGCCTTGCCTGATCTTGTTTGGTTGGCCGAATTCAGGAGCGCGTTTCCAGGTGCCTGTCGACCAGGGTCTGGACCATGGGTGCGAAATGCCAGAAGTCGGGAGTTTCCATATTTGCCTGTTTGCCGGCTTCGTCGAGATATCGAACCTGAATGATCTTCTTCAGGTTCGGGTTCTTTTCAAAATCCGCGACTTCATCGGGGCTCATCGGACCACCCTGGAGATTGAGCGAATGGACAGACGCCTCGGAGAGGCGTTTGAAATAGTCCGGTTTCGTCGCACACAGATAGCGCTTTGCAGCAACATGATGACGGACGCAATCGACGATAACCGACGGAAAGTATGAGCTGAGAACCTGTGCACCCGCTTCCTCGTGAAAACGGTCCTCGGTGTCTTCCATGGAAAAGGTTCCAAACTCCGAAGTGAAGTGTCCGATGTCGTGAAGCAGGGCCCCGACGATGATCTCCTCGTCAAGGCCGTTCCGTTCCGCGATCGTGGCGCCCTGAAGCATGTGCTCAGCCATGGTGACCGGCTCGCCGAGATATTCCTCGTCTCCGCAGCGCTCAAAGATGTCACCTATGAACGCGACGATGTTGTCGCGAGTGAGTGTTGAAAAATCCGGCTTGCTCACTCAGCTGCCTCCTGGACAGACGATTGAAGGGACGCAAGCGTCGAAAGCAGACCATCCTTGTCGGCGTAACACCCCTGTAGCCAACGCGAACCGGTTCCCGAATAAGCCTTGCGGGCATGTAGTACTCGCGTGTTGTCGACGATGAAGCATTCGCCGGGCTCGAGACGGAAAGTCACTTCCATTGCCGTATCGTCAATGATTTCGCCGAGCCTGCGGTAGGCTTCGTAATAAAGGGCCATATCTTCGAAAGGCACGTCGGTTATTGCGGCTGCAGACCTGTTGTTGAAGCGAACCGCTATGAGTTCGCCATCAGGCGCAAGCTCTATCATCGGTCGGCGGGACGTCAAGGCAACGCCCTTTTCGCCTGCATATTCAAATTTCGCGCAGTATCGGCTCAGAACATCGAACCACGCGGAATTTTCGTTCTTCAGGCGCATTGCCGCCTTAAATCCGTCTACCACCATGTTTTCGCCGCCGGCAGCTGAACTTTCCAGGCAGTAAAGAACCTGAATTGTCGGCACGGGATCGCGGTAGGGATTGTCGGTATGTGCCTGAAGTCCCAGTCCCGTGAAGGCCAGATTGGTTGGATTGACTTCGGTCCGGACTTCAAAGTGCCTTCCGTAGTTTGTTTCCCTGACAAAACCGAACAGTTGGACGACTTTCATCAGCGCCTGGTCTTCGACCGGTCCACCGCTGAGTTTTCCGAAACCGTACCTGGCAACGCTTTCCAGCCACGCCCGCTTTGCCGATGGATCCGAGGCTATGTGATTGAAATCGGCAGAAGGAACATTTTCATTGAGCATCGCGTCCCAGGTCTCGATGCTACCGGCGAGCCAGCCCTTTTCAGAGACTCGCGGCCGGTCGTAAGCGTTCGCAATCAGCCAGTCGATTGAGTAATCGACGTCCTTGTTTTCAGGTGAAAATGTAATCTTGAGCGTTGTGCCTTCGACTGCAACCGCGGAAATCTGGACCTTAGGATCGATATCCCGCAACGCAATCAGCCTTTGACCATTCGATGGGGATCTTGTCTCCGTGTCCCAGGCATTGTCACGCAGCCAGACCGCGTGGAAGCGAAACTGTTCCCGGTTGTGGTCGAGAACAAGAATATTACCCGACTCATTGATTGCCACCTGTGTCATCCGCCAAAGCCTCTCCTGTCTGGACAATGACAAGATCGTGCTGTTTTACTATAAAATCAAATTAGGAATTAAGAGGCTTAGGGTTCGTTTTGCTAATGGATAAGTCCAGATTTGAGAACCTGCCGCTGGAGTGGGTGAGGGCGTTCGAGGTCGCGGCGCGTACTGGAAGTTTTACAGCCGCTGCGCAGGAAACCGGGTTGACTCAATCAGCGATCAGTCAGCGGATCGGCAAGCTCGAAAAGCGCCTGGAAACACAGTTGTTTTTGCGCCAGCCGCGCAGCATTTCCCTGACGGTCGAGGGCGAGACATGGGTTCCGCACGTCCGTTCTGCCTTGGAGAGTCTGAGGGAAAGTTCCGAGGGAATTTTCGGAATATCACGAAATCGGGTAACGATCTCGGCGAGTGCGTCAATAATTGAACTTTGGCTGATGCCTCGATTGTACAGACTGTCATCTGAAATAGATGCGCAGATTTCCTTCAAGACACTTGTTCTTTCCTCGGAAGTTCAGCAAGAGCCCGGTGTCATCCAGATAAGATACGGGTCGGGAGATTGGCCCTACACGTATAAACTGCCGCTCTACAGTGAGGTCATCGCACCCGTAGCCTCGCCGAAGCTTTTGGGACGTTCCGCGGATTGGACAGGCCTGCCGCGGATCGCGGTCGTTGGACCTCGACCCGGCTGGAACGATTGGTCAGCCAGGTTCGGAACGCCGTCGACGCCGCTTGCCGATCTTCGCTTCGACACCTTTTTTGCAGCTTTGTCCGCGGCAAGACAAGGATTTGGGGTCACGCTTGCTTCTCTGCCACTTTGTCAGGAGGACTTGAAAACCGGACGCTTGCAACGCGTTTCAACTGAGAATCTGCCCCATCACCAGACATACTGGTTGCTGGCGTCCAAGGAAGCCGTTTCAAGGAAACAATGGAACCTGCTGGAAAAGGGATTGAAGGCAATCGGTGACTGAAAGATCTGTCACGACACCGTTTGTCCGTTTCGCACCTATTTGCCCGTAATGGGATCGTTTGCGGTTCGGATGAGTTTCTCAAGAAGTGCCGAGAGCTGGTCTTGTTCGTTCGCCGTCAGACCTTCGACTGCACGGGCCTGCATGTCGACATACTGTGGGATCATGCGTTTGACCAGTTGCAGGCCTTTGTCAGTGACACACACGGTAAGGGCACGACGGTCGTCGGGATGCGGGCAACGTTCAACCAGACCGGCTTTTTCCAACTTGTCCACACGCGCAGTCATGCCGCCTGAACTCATCATCGTTGAGCGATAAAGCTCGGTCGGTGTCAGTTTGTAGGGAGGACCGGATCTGACCAGTGTCGCCAGCACATCGAATTCACCCAGTTTCAGACCGATTTTCGCGTAGGCCGGAACCAGGTAATCGCGGTTCATCAACTGCGCCGCTTCGTTCAGGCGCCCGAGCAACACCATCGGCAGCAGTTGTTCGGCAACTTCCGGGACTTCCTTCTGCCATTGCCGCCGCGCGCGTTCAGCCCGGTCGGTCATTAGGTCCGCCGGGTCGCCGAACAGGTGTTTCGATGGTTTTGACCGCGTGTCGGAAGGTTTGTTCATAGCGTCGTCCCGGGAACGTAATGTTCTGCGTTTCTGCCATTGTCGGGAGAATGAAATCCACCGACAGACAGTCCGGCATCTCCAATGGTTTGGTGAACCGACCTTTCCCTTTTCGATACCTGCTGTCAATACGCGTCAAGAATCTTGATATAAAGTATCTTGAAATAAAGATAAAAAATGATACCTATACCTGCAGGCGAAAACGCGCTGTTGCCAAACAGATCAAAAGGACGATCAAATGTCAGCCATGGCCAGACAGGATACGCAATCGAGTTCCGGAGGTATCGGACAGGGGTACAAGTCTTCGGCAGGAGGCAGGAGCCCACTGGATAGGCCGCTTGTGCTTATGCTGATTGTCGGCTCGTTTCTCGGAGTTTCGACGGTTTTTGCGAAGGCGGCTCCCGAAATCGGTTGGCACCCCATCGCGCTGCTGCAGTGGTCGATCCTCGGTGGCGCTATCGGACTTTTTGGCGCCACCAGACTGGCCGGTTTGAAAAACGGCAGCACAAGGGTCGCAAAAGAAAAGGGGCACCAGCAACGGTTGGTGATCTACATCCTGATCACAGGCATCTTGTTCATCTTGCCGAACATGATCGCCGTGGCGGCCGCACCCAGGGTGGGAGCCGGGTTTGTGGCACTCTGTTTTGCGTTTCCATTGGTGCTGACCTACGCCTTTGCGGTTGTCCTGCGTCTTCAGCGTTTCCAGTGGATCATGGGCGCCGGCGTGTTCTTCGGTGTCGCGGGCGGAGTTTTACTGGCGATTTCAGGGTCGGAATTGTCTGCAGAGGCGTCTTTCTGGTCGTTGCTGGCGCTTGCAATTCCCCTGTTTCTGGCAGCTGGAAACATATACAGAACGCTGAAATGGCCAAAAGGAGCAAAACCGGTAGATTTGGCACTCGGCATGATGGTGGTGGGTTTTCTCGTTCTGTCGGCCTTCACCGCAACTTGGGGAATACCGGTCGCGCCTGTTGCGTGGACGCCCGAAGCGGCAGGATTGCTCGCGGCGCAGACCGCCATCTTCGGACTTCAATACGGTCTCTATTTTCGGCTTCAGCAAACCGCGGGGCCGGTCTATCTCAGTCAGATAGGATCTGTCGCAGCAGTCGTGGGCCTCGGTCTCGGGTATCTGGTGTTCAACGAAGTGCCGAATGCCGCGAAACTGGCTGCGGTGGCGGCTGTAGGCGTCGGCATTATTCTGGTCACCGTTGGGCAACGCCGGGTCTGGCAGTCCACCGACTAGCTGTTCAGTTCCAGAGCCAGGCGGCGCCTCGTACACCTGAACTGTCGCCGTGAACGGCTTTGCGGATCGGTGTGTCGAACGTATCGGAAAAAATGTAAGGCACCATGGCGGGCGGCAGATCTTCATAGAGCTCATCGATGTTCGACATGCCGCCGCCAAGAACGAAAACATCTGGATCAAGCAGATTGGCGGACATTGCCAGTGACCGGGCGAGGCGGCTCACATAAGCCTCATAGACATGTGTTGCCACGGGGTCACCGGAACGTTTGAGCGCCATGATCTCGTGCCCCTTCAGCAAGGTTCCGGTTTTTTCCTTGTAGTCGAGCTGAAATCCCGTACCTGAACACCAGCGGTCAATAACCCCCCGGTGCCCGATCCAGCTGTCCGGCCCCGGAAACTCGTCTTCCTTGAGCCAGGGAACGGTAATCGCACCCCATTCGCCGCCAATGCCATTTGCACCCTGATGTGCTCTGGCGTCGATCGCAATCCCCGAACCGCAACCGGTCCCGATGATAACGGCATGAACGATATGCGCACCTGCGCCGGCACCATCGGTCGCCTCGGAGACGGCAAGGCAGTTGGCGTCGTTCTGGATACGCACAGGTCTGCCGATGACGTATTCAAGATCCTTGTCGAGTGGCTTGCCGTTCATCCAGGTGGAATTGGCATTCTTGACGAGGCCCGACTTTGGCGACAGTGATCCCGGAATGCCGAGGCCGAGCGTTCCGGATTGACTGGTCGCCGTCTCTGCCTCATTTACCAGATGTTTTACCGCTTCCAGGCACCCTTGGTAGTCGTCCCTGGGTGTGTCGACTCTCTGCCGGAAGAGTTCGCTGCCTTCGTTGGACAGCGCAATGATCTCGATTTTTGTTCCGCCCCAGTCAATTCCAAGCCGCATGTCGTTCCACCCGTGTCAGCAAGTCAAATACAGGTTTTGCCCTTGCTCGATTTGTCTTCTTGATTGCCGTCACATTTCAATTCTGTCCGGTCCGCAGCCGCCTCAAATTCGCTGAAGATTGCGATCTGGTCTGGGACAGAACCAACAAGATCGATCGGTCCGTTCTCTCATATTGTCCGCCGTCGTGCGGCCATGCATTGGTCCTTTGCGCCGGGCAAAAGACTGCGCGAAACGCTTCAACTGCGGATCCCGTCGCAAAAGAAAGCGCGCTTGCCGATCCGAAGACTTCGTTTTCGAGTTCCCGAGTGACACATGAAGCGGAATGTTTGCTCTGCATGAGGCTCTCGCGGTCAACAAGACAAAATGCGCGCGAAGCGCTCTCGGATCGGGCACCTTATTGGCAGAGAACCGGTTGCGATTGCAAGTAGCTGACGCGCAAAACCAACCGAAACCGGACGATCCGTTATAGGCCTGCTGATGCAGAGGCGAAAATGAAAAATACAGAGCCGGAAGTGACCGGCTCTGTATGCTGTTAGAAGGCAGGGTATTGCGGTATGCGCACCTTTACGGCCCTGGACGGTCTGGAAGCGGGATAAATTCCTCTGCATCTCCCGGAACGGTGTCAAACCGCCCCAGTTTCCAGTCTTCCTTGGCTTGCTCGATACGTTCCTTTGATGACGAGACGAAATTCCACCAGATGTATCGCTTTCCATCCATCGGTTCACCGCCGAGCACGACGAACCGCGCGGGTGAAGATGTCGTGTTCTCGATCACCAGATGGTCGCCAGGTTTGAAAACCAGCAACTGCGCGGGGTCAAAGGGCTGCCCGGCAATAGTGATCTGTCCCGATATCGTGTAAAGGCCGCGCTCTTCCCAGCCGGCATCCAGAGGAACCTTTGCACCGGGTTCGAGCGAAATATCCGCATAAAACATGTCTGATGCGGTCTGCACCGGTGCCTCGTGGCCATAGAGGTTGCCGGCAATCAGTTTCACCGAGGCACCGTTATCTGCAAATTCAGGCTGCTCTTCTGCTCCATGGTGCTGGAATGAGGGATCCCCTTCCTCCAGCTGTTTCGGCAGTGCCACCCAGCTTTGCAGGCCGAACAGCGGGCGTTTTTCCTGCAGACGTTCCGGGCGCTCGCGCTCGGAATGGACAATGCCCTTGCCGGCACTCATCCAGTTCAACGCGCCCGGGGCGATTGCGATCTCGGTGCCGAGACTGTCGCGATGGTACATTTCGCCTTCAAAGAGATAAGTGACCGTGGCAAGACCGATATGCGGGTGAGGGCGCACGTCGATACCACCGCCCACCAACAGTTCAGCCGGACCCATCTGATCAAAGAAGATGAATGGACCGACCATGCGCCGTCTTGCCGAGGGCAAGGCCCGTCGAACCGAAAAGCCACCAAGGTCAGAGGTTCGCGGGACGATAATCGTGTCGATAGGGTCGCAGCTTGTTGCAACACCGGGAATTGGATCGGGACTGTTCAACCAGCTCATCGGCTTCTCCTTGCCAATCAATGCACGTCTGAAGCCTAAATTGGGTCTGCGTGGTGAATGTGTCCACTGAACAGTGCGTTTCCATCTTTTCAGACAATCGGAAGAGTGTATAACGTCGGCCCGCAATTTCCTTATCAAGGTGCTTCCATGAAACGGGTGATGATCGTCGGTGGCCCGGGATCGGGCAAGAGCATGCTCGCTCGGCTTCTCGGCAAGCAGTCAGGCCTGCCCGTCTACCACATGGACAAGATCCATTATCGTGCGGGCTGGCTGGAGCGCACTCGGGAAGAAAAAGATCTTCTGACCCACGAAGTGCACATGAAGGATTCCTGGATATTTGAAGGTGGCCATTCCAATACATATGAAGAGCGCGTCTCCAGGGCCGACACGTTTGTCTGGCTTGATATTCCCGTTGCCCTGAGGATATTCCGGGTGCTGAAACGATCGCTGCGGTACTACGGGCAATCGCGCCCTGATCTGGCCGAAGGATGTCCGGAACGTTTCAACTTGCAAACAATCGAGTTCTTGCACTTCATCTGGCGTACACGGCGCAGCGCGCGCGCCAGATTGATGAAGATCTATGAGAACCCTCCGCAACATCTCCGGGTTGTTCGCATTCGAACAAAGTCGGAGTTCGCTGCCTTTTTGCAAGCTCCAACTGGCCAGACCTGCTAATGGAAACACGGATTTCAAGCATCGTCAGAGAGAGTGTGATGGATCTCGACCCGTTCTATCCGATCGTTGACAGTTCAAACTGGATTGACCGACTTGTGCCGCTTGGCATCAAACTCGTCCAATTGCGCATCAAGGATGCGTCGGAAGAAACACTGCGGCGGGAGATTGCAACGTCTCAGGCAACTTGCCGGAAGTATGGTTGTCAGCTCATCGTCAACGATCACTGGCGCCTGGCGGTCGATCTTGGCTGCGACTATGTTCACCTCGGGCAGGAAGATCTCGCAGATGCAGATCTGGCTTCAATTCGGCGCGCTGGGTTGAGACTGGGCGTGTCGACCCATGACGGTGCGGAACTCGATGCCGCGCTTTCTGTCAAACCCGACTATGTGGCGCTGGGCCCGGTGTTTCCCACGAGTTCCAAGACGCTCAGCTGGAAACCTCAGGGGCTCGAAAAAATCGAAGGCTGGAAACGGAAAATCGGCGACTTGCCGCTGGTCGCGATCGGCGGTATCACGCTTGAGCGGAGCAGGGATGTTCTGCAAAGCGGTGCAAACAGCGTCGCGATCATCAGCGATGTCACGAAAAATTCCACTCCGGATCAACGCACACTTGACTGGATCGCGGAAACGCAAGACTGGCGTTAGCGGCAAACCACAGGTTTGCAACGCATCTGATGCAGCTCTGGCCCGTTTCAAGTCACATCAGATAGTCGTCTGTATCAATGGCTTGCGCCGTAGGAACACTGTCATCAGCATCGCCACTGGTGGAAAAGGACTTAACGAAAACATGTTTCACGACATAAGCCAGGGTTGAAGGGTCATCTTCGTCTGATGTGCTCTGGAGATTGTCAGCAACATCCCGTTCCGAATTGGAAAAGTCAAAATTGAATGTTTCGTTCTTTTTGTCGTCTGAAGAAAATCTAAAAGACATAATTACCTCCTCAAAAGTAATTTTTAGATGTAATACTCCATGAATATGCCGAATAATTATTTTTTGTTTTTTAATACATGATTTTTTGCACTTTGATTGTGACTGCAATCACAATCAGGCGTGCGTGATCGTGCGATACCAATAGGACTTGCGCCAGAACACACGGATGAAGAATTCATTCGCTGAAAATTGTTTTATCGCGCGCGACTTGATCGCGAAGAAAATCTTGAACGGCGGCAACATGACGTAGCGGTCGTGAACTCTCGTGTGTCACCATCCAGTATGACCGGCGCAATTTCAATTCCGGCAATACGGCCACGAGCGCCTTGTCCTCGCGCGCGATAAAATCGTGAAGTATGCCAATTCCCGCACCGCCGCGAACGGCTTCTGTCTGGCCAAGAGCTGAGGCGATTTCAAAGCGGGCAGTCCAGTCTTTGGAAAACTCTGTCCCGTAGTTCAATTGAGGGGAATAGAGAAGATCTTCGACGTAGCCGATTAGATCGTGCGCGCTTAGATCGAACGAAGAGGCGGGAGTTCCCCTTGTTTCCAGATAGGTTCTGGACGCATAAAGTCCGAGGGCATAGTCGACCAGCTTGCCCGCGACCAGCCTTCCGGTTTCTGGTCGGTCAATCGTCACCGCGATATCGGCTTCCCGTCGCGAGAGAGAAAAGGAACGTGCTATGGGAACCAGTTGCACGGTCAAGCCAGGATGTCTCTCCGTTAGCTTGCCAAGGCGCGGGGCAAGGTAAGCCACCCCAAACCCGTCTGGGGCACCTATTCGGACCGTTCCCGCAATTTCCGGGGTGTCGCCGCCGAGGTCTGCTTCCGCGGCAACAGCTTCGGCTTCCATGCGTTCAGCCCGGTCGAAAAAGCGGCTGCCTGCTTCCGTGAGCACACAGCCCGACGTTGATCGGTCGAACAATCGGGCGCCGAGGCTTTCTTCCAATGAAGTAAGCCGCCTTGCGACGGTTGCATGGTTCAGGGCAAGGCGTTTTGCTGCTGCCAGAATCTGACCTGTTCTTGCAATGGTCAGAAAAATTCTGATGTCGTCCCAATTCATGAATTTCATGACCTTGTCTCTGCCCCGGTCAAAACGTTGCTGGTTTCGTGGAACTGTCAGAAGCACCACATCCCGGATCCCGCACTTTTCAGGGATGACAATTCCAGGAGTGTTTGCAAGGTTATGGCAGATAGATGACATAACTATAAAAAACGCACAATAGATCCGGAAAACTGGATCTTGTATATAACAAAAATAAGAGCGAAAAACACCAGAACAAATTTTCCGGGAGATCAGCCGTCGGCTGGCTGCCTCGGGCCAGATGGGAGACATGCGATATGCAGAAAATCGGTCACTTTATTGACGGCAAGCACGTGGAAGGTACGTCTGGTCGTTTTGCCGACGTCTACAACCCGGCGACGGGAGAAATCCAGGCGCAGGTTGCGCTCGCCAGTCAGGCTGAAATGGACGCTGCGATCGCCAATGCCGCAGCGGCACAGCGCGGATGGGCTGCAACCAACCCGCAGCGTCGTGCCCGAGTCATGATGAAATTCGTCGACCTGCTCAACCGCGATATGGACAAGCTCGCGGAAGCTCTGTCCCGTGAACATGGCAAGACGCTTCCGGATGCCAAGGGAGATGTTATCCGTGGTCTGGAAGTTGCCGAATTCTGCATTGGTGCCCCACATCACCTGAAGGGTGAGTTCTCTGAAGGTGCAGGTCCCGGCATCGACATGTACTCCATGCGCCAGCCGCTCGGTGTTGTCGCCGGTATCACGCCGTTCAACTTTCCGGCCATGATACCGATGTGGAAATTCTGTCCGGCTATCGCTTGTGGCAACTCGTTCATTCTCAAGCCTTCCGAGCGCGATCCGTCCGTGCCGATCATGCTGGCGGAACTGATGATCGAAGCAGGGTTGCCGGCGGGTGTCTTGAACGTTGTCAACGGCGACAAGAGCGCGGTTGACGCTATCTGCGACGCCGAGACCATTCAGGCCGTCGGTTTCGTCGGTTCCACACCGATCGCCCAGTATGTCTATTCCCGCTCGACAGCAAACGGCAAGCGGGCACAGTGCTTCGGCGGTGCCAAGAACCACATGATCATCATGCCGGATGCCGATCTGGATCAGGCTGCCGATGCACTGGTCGGTGCTGGCTATGGTGCTGCCGGCGAGCGTTGCATGGCTGTTTCTGTTGCCGTTCCTGTCGGTGAAACGACTGCAAATGCGCTCATTGAGAAGCTGGCGCCCAAGGTTGAAGCCTTGAAAATCGGGCCGTATACCGCTGGCAATGACGTTGATTTCGGACCGCTCGTCACAAAGGAAGCACTTGGTCGTGTCAGGGGACTGGTGGACCAGGGTGTCAAGGAAGGCGCGAGCCTGGTCGTCGATGGCCGTGATTTTTCCATGCAGGGCTATGAGGACGGTTTCTTCATGGGAGGATGCCTGTTCGACAACGTCACCAGGGACATGGACATCTACAAGACCGAAATCTTCGGCCCTGTCCTGTCTGTTGTGCGTGCTGAGACTTACGAAGAAGCCCTGGATCTGCCGCTTAGCCATGAATACGGAAACGGCACTGCGATATTCACGCGTGACGGCGACACCGCGCGCGATTTTGCTTCCCGGATCAATATCGGCATGGTCGGCATCAATGTGCCGATCCCTGTGCCGCTTGCCTATCACACCTTCGGTGGCTGGAAGAAATCCGGTTTCGGAGACCTGAACCAGCATGGTCCTGACGGTTTCAAGTTCTACACACGGACCAAGACCGTGACCTCCCGCTGGCCGTCGGGCCTGAAGGACGGTGCCGAGTTTGTCATTCCGACAATGTAGTTGGTTCCGTATCTGTTGTTGATGAAACGGGGCGGCACACTTTGCCGCCCCTTTTTTGTCAGGCAGCAACAGCGTTTGCTTCGACAACACGGTCTGCCGTGTAATGAGACATTGATATCAATCCATCGATTTCCGCCATGATGGCCACAAAGGCCGGGTCCTTCATGACCTTGTTAGCCGCGTCCTTGGCAGTCGTCAGATCCTTCCATAGAACAATGTCGGCGAACAGGTTTTTCTCCTCGCAGGACTCGTAGGCGGTCCAGGAGATGAAACCGTCATAGTGTTTTACGGTGTCTTGCGCTGCTCTGCGGGCAACGCGGGCTTTTTCGCTGTCTTTGACTTTGAAAATCACCACCTCAAGGCAGGGGTCACTCATCTCTTTCTCCTTGGACATTGGAGGGAATATTCCCTGTTTGCCTTCATCGCACAGGCCTCCTGACAGCATTCCGTCAGGACACTGAAAACGCGATGCGCCAAAACGTCCTCGATTTTTGACCGACGTTTTGTGGAGAAACGCCGCTCGAGAATGTAAGAGGTGTTCCTCGGATGGTTCCTTGCGCTGTGACGCAAACCATGATTGACGGGGAGACAATCCTGATCGTTGCGCAAATACGCGTCATACGGTTTGCGGTGCACTGGGGAAGGACTTGGAAAACAGCGGAAAAAGTGGCCAGGAGATCGGTGATGCCGACATCTCCGAAAAAACGGCGCTGAACCGGGCCGGGACAATTCTGGCGGTCGCCGATCTTCTCTGGATTCCGCAGGCCGGTCTCATTGCATGGCCACTTGGTCTGGTCCTTTCAGATGTAACCGTCAACAGCCAAAGTTCAAATTCAGAGCTGCCGGTTTTGCTCCTGACATGTGTCGCCGGTCTTGTCATGATCGCTCTCATTCGAGTGTATCTGCAGATACTGGCTCAGGGCCAGGCTCAACGAGCAGCTCGGCGCATTCAGAAGAAGGCACGTGGGGACCTCCTTTTTGCGGCGATAACACGTTCTCCGGCGCAGAGTTTTCCGCCTTCAGGCGCCTTTGCTGCGCATGTCACCGATCAGGTCGATCTGCTCGGTCCCTATTACCGGAACTATTGGCCACAATTCATGAGGCTGAAGCTGGTTCCGCTCGCAATTGTCCTTGTGACGGCTTGGTTCAGTTGGCTTGCGGCGTTGATCCTCGTGATCAGCGGCCCTGTCATACCGGTTTTCATGGCATTGATCGGTGCGCGCGCCAAGACGGCCAGCGCCGATCAGCAGGAGGAACTGGCACGACTAAGCGGTATGCTTCTGGACCGGATCAGAGGATTGGAGACCCTCGTCCTGTTCGGCGCGGTTGGACACTCGAGATCCGAAATCCGTGATGCCGGTGAACGCTTCAGACTCGGCACCATGCGGGTTTTGAAGGTCGCCTTCCTGTCGTCGACTGTCCTGGAGTTGTTTTCCGCTCTAGGGATTGCCTTTTCGGCAGTTTATGTCGGGTTTTCGCTGCTTGGTGATATCGAGATCGGTGTCTGGGGGAAGTCGCTCGGATACGCGCAAGGATTGTTTATCCTGTTGTTGGCGCCCGAGTTTTTTGCGCCTTTGCGATCTTTTTCCGCTGCTTACCATGACCGCGCAGCTGGGCTTGCCGCTCGTCAGAAATTGTCTGAAATGCTGGATGCCATCGATACGCCGGCTGCTGCTGTCTCCGTGGTGAGGACAGCCGTTGAGCCGCAAAGGCACCAGGACAAGAAATGGCTTTTCGAAGCTCCCGGCATTTCCTTTGGCAACGTAACGATCGATCTGGCAGGTCGCAAAGTATTCGACCGGTTCAATTGTCGGATCGAGCCTGGCGAAACGCTGTTGATCACCGGCAGAAGCGGGTGCGGCAAGACGACCTTGTTGGATCTTGTTCTGGGCTTTCGAATGCCTGACAGCGGCAATGTGCTCGTTGACGGGGATGACATTTCAATGGCCGCGGACGCGTTGCGCCGGAAGGTCATGTATCTCGGGCAGGCGCCGCGGTTGTTCCATGGCAGCGTGAAGGCAAATCTGCTCAAGGCAATGCCGGATCCATCCGAGGTACAAGATGCCGACATCCAGACTGCGCTGCACCTCGCAGGCGCCCAGGATTTGGTCCGCCGGCTGCCGCGCGGCCTGGCGACGCAACTTGGTGAAGACGGATTTGGTCTGTCGGTCGGCGAAATCAGGCGGATCGCACTGGCGCGTGCCGCGATGCGCAAGGAAGCCAGGATACTGATTGTTGATGAACCCACTGCCGGCCTCGACCCGGACACTGCTGCGGATGTGATCGAAGGCTTGAAAATTCTGTCGAAGGAACGAACGTGCCTCATCGCGACCCATGACCCGGCCGTCCTGGAAATTTCCGGACGACACTTTGATCTGGACATTGCAAAAATGCCTGTGGCGCCGGAGAACGTGAAATGACGGCTGTCTGGCAATTCATAAAGAGCCAGCAACGCTTCAGCAGGCTCCATTTCTGGGTCGGTATTGCGGTTTCCTTGTTGCCGGTTGCTGCAGGCATTCTTCTGCTAGGGGTCTCGGGCTGGTTCATCACGGCCGCGGCGCTGGCAGGACTGAGTGGTGCCTTTCTCAATATTTTCGCACCAAGCGCAATCATTCGCGCGCTTGCCATCATCAGGACAGCCGGACGCTACGGCGAACGCGTGCTGACCCATGATGCGACGTTCAGGTTCTTGACTGACTTGCGTAACCGCCTGTTTGAGGCCTACGCGATTGAGCCGGCGAAAAAGAAGCGGTCCGGAACCGTCTTGAACCGATTGACGGCGGACATAGACGCGCTCGACTCAGTCTACCTGCGTCTCGTGGTCCCAATCGTGCTTGCCGTGATCGTGGCGACTTTCCTGTTGGTCGTTTGGGCAACGGTTTCCCGGGCGGTTTTCACTGTTGGCCTGATCTTCATCGCGGCCTGGGCAATCCTTGCGTGGCGGTCTTTTGACAATTCTGAACGCAATACCGTTCGCCGGGCGGATGCCGCCTCAGATGCGATGCGTCTGCGTGCGGCCGATCTTGCCGGGGGGAGGCGCGATATCGCCGTTTATGGCGGTCTTGGAGATGCTGCAGACCATATTCTGACAGCAGACGGCCGGTTGATGGAAGTTGAGGAAAAGCTGGAGCAACGGTCGAACCGGCTCGTCGGTTTATCGAGCCTGATCGGTCAGACTTTTCTTGCCTTTATGCTCCTTGTATGCGCCTGGGAGGTCGCGGATGGACACCTGTCGCTTGCACCCGCCGTTGGCCTTGTGCTGGTGGTCATAGCTTTGCCCGAACTGTTTTCGGCAATGCTCCCTGGCCTGGCAAATCTGCCGCGAACGGAATTGGCTGCAGAACGTTCGATAGCGGCGCGAAGGTTGAATGCGGGAACTGAAGGATCAACGGCAAAACCGGAAGCGCCAAGTGAGCTGGAAGATACAACGGACGCTGTCCTACGTTTCGAATCGGTGCGCTTCAACTATCCTGGCGCGGCGCGGCCCATCCTGGATGGTCTGTCGCTGGAAATTGGGCACGGTGAGGTCGTGGCTGTTGCCGGGCGCAGCGGCTGTGGCAAGACCACGGTGGCCTCGCTCGCAGCTCGGCTTCTTGATGCCGACAAAGGCACAATCTGGCTGAACGGGACAGATATCAGGGATTTTTCCGAAAGTGACTTGCGCCGATCCGTAGCTGTTCTGAGCCAGCGGCCCTATATTTTCAACGACACCATTGCTGCGAATTTGCGCATTGCCAATCCCGATGCCGGTGAGGCCGAGTTATGGGAGGCGCTGGAACGATCCGCCCTGGCTGAGCGAATTGCTCAGGATGGAGATGGATTGCAAAGCATTCTGGGCGAAGATGGGCTCGGATTGTCCGGAGGCGAGCAACGCAGGCTTGCGTTGGCGCGAGCGTTCCTGACGCGACCAAGCCTGTACGTTCTGGACGAAATGACTGAAGGTCTGGACGAGAACACAGGGGCCGAGGTTCTGGCGCGTTTTCTTGACTTCAGGACAGATCAGGCGGTCTTGATGATTGCGCACAAGGATCGTGAACTTGATGTTGCAGACCGTGTCGTTCGTTTGAGCGGCAGTGACACGCGGCTGCCCTGAATTGTTTCGTTTTTTCAAAGGATCCTGCCGCAGTTTTCTGCGATTTTAAGTTGTCGAATACGATCTGTCGCATTGACCTTGTGGTGTGGCTGCGCCACCATCCGAAGCAGGTAGTGTATTGCTCTGAACCGGTTTTTTGACGGGAACGGAATGCGCGTCCTTGCTCGAAAGAGTGTGAGGGAAGTGGCACCGGATCGGTTCAGAGGTCCGCCTGACCTTGAGCTCAAGCCGCCGGCTTGAAGAGGGGGAATAAAATGGAACTAAGCGTCGTCGATCTGTCACGGCTGCAATTCGCCATGACCGCGCTCTACCACTTTCTGTTCGTACCCTTGACCATTGGGTTGTCCATTCTGCTCGCGACTATGGAAACGGTCTATGTGATGACCGGCCGCGAGATCTGGAAACGCATGGTCAAGTTCTGGGGCACGCTCTTCGGAATCAATTTTGTTCTCGGCGTCGCAACCGGGCTGACAATGGAATTTCAGTTCGGAATGAACTGGGCTTATTTCAGCCAGTATGTCGGGGATGTTTTCGGAGCTCCGCTCGCGATTGAAGGGCTGATGGCCTTCTTTATGGAAGCAACCTTTGTCGGCCTTTTCTTCTTCGGTTGGGACAAGCTTTCCAGGCGGCAGCACCTTGCAGCGACCTGGGCCGTGGCAATTGGAACGAATTTTTCAGCGCTCTGGATCCTGATCGCAAACGGCTGGATGCAAAACCCGATCGGTGCCGAATTCAATCCCGACACCATGCGCATGGAAGTCAGCAGCTTCTTTGACGTGCTTTTCAACCCGGTTGCCCAGGCCAAGTTCGTTCACACGGTATCGGCAGGTTACGTGACGGCTGCCCTTTTCATGCTGGGTATTTCCGCCTGGTACATGCTGCAGGGCAGGCATCTGCAGATCGCCAAGCGCTCCATGACAATTGCCTCGGCATTCGGTTTTGCTTCAGCGCTTTCAGTCGTCGTCCTCGGTGATGAAAGCGGCTATGAGGCCAATCTGAACCAGAAGATGAAGCTCGCGACAATAGAGGCCATGTGGCATACCGAGCCGGCTCCTGCAGCCTTCAACGTTGTTGCATGGCCCGATATGGAAAATCGCGAGAATATTTTCGCGATCGAGGTGCCGTATGTCATGGGACTTATTGCAACACGGTCGCTCGATACGATCATTCCCGGTATCCACGAGCTGGTTGACCGGTCCAAGGACCGGATCCGCCAGGGCGCGGTCGCCTGGGACGCGCTGCAGAAAATCAGAGAAAATCCCGACACAGTGTCTGAAGAGGTCCGTGAGACGTTTCGATACAACGCCAATTCACTCGGGTATGCCTATCTGCTTCTTCCCTATACCGACAACCCGATGGAAGCGACCACCGAGCAGATTGACGAGGCTGCATGGTCGACCGTTCCGAACGTCTTTCCGATGTTCTATGCCTTTCGCATCATGGTCGCTTGCGGCTTCTTCTTCATCCTGTTGACATCGGTCTTCTTCTACTACTCTTCGGCCGGAAAACTCGATGTCCTGAGGGAAAAGCGGCGCTGGCTCCTGCATGTTGCCGTCTGGTCGATACCGCTTCCCTGGGTTGCTTGCGAGATGGGCTGGTTTGTTGCCGAATACGGTCGCCAGCCGTGGATCATCGAAAGCATGTTGCCGACGTCGGCGGCAGTTTCAAGCCTGTCCGTGTTGGAAGTTCTCCTCACGCTGGCCGGGTTTGTTCTCTTGTACAGCGCGCTTCTGGTGATCGAGGTCACGTTGATGTTCAAGTACATAAGGATCGGTCCTGACGATGGTGAAGAGCCAGAAGTGCCGCCGGCATCTGTACGCCCCGTATCCGGCACAGTCCCAGTTCCTGCGGAGTAAAGCGCGATGATCCTTTATGAATTGATCGACTACTCGACGCTGAAAGTCATCTGGTGGGTGCTGCTCGGTGTGCTTCTGATTGCATTCGCCGTAACCGATGGTTTCGACATGGGAGTAGGGACCTTGCTGCCCTTCATTGCCGAGACGGATATCGAACGAAGGGTGGTGATCAACACGATCGGAGCGACCTGGGAGGGAAACCAGGTCTGGTTCATACTCGGTGGCGGAGCCATCTTCGCCGCTTGGCCACCTCTCTATGCGATCAGTTTTTCCGGTTTTTACCTTGCAATGTTCGTGGTGCTTGCCGCCATGATCCTGCGACCGGTCGCATTCAAATACCGGTCGAAGAAACCCGACCCCTCCTGGCGCAGCAGCTGGGACTGGGCACTCTTCATCGGCTCTTTCGTTCCTGCGCTCGTCTTCGGAGTTGCCGTCGGCAACGTGATGCTTGGTGTACCGTACTCGCTCGACAATGATTTGCGGATGACCTACGAGGGCTCGTTCTTCGGGCTGTTCTCGCCATTCCCGCTTCTGTGCGGCTTGTTGTCTGTCAGCATGCTGGTTATGCACGGAGCCGTCTGGCTTGTCATGCGGGCATCGGGTGAGATTGCGCGGCGGGCCCGCAGATATGGAACGATGGCGGCCCTTTTTGCAATCATCCTCTTCGCGCTCGGCGGATATCTGGTGGCAAGCGGATATGTCGACGGTTTCAGGATTACGTCCGAAGTTGACCCGAACATGCAGGCCAATCCGCTCGCCAAACAGGCTGTTATCGAAGATGGAGCCTGGATGACCAACTATGCGACATATCCCTGGTTATGGCTCGTTCCCGGTCTGGGATTTCTCGGCTTGTTCGGAACGCTGGTATTGCTTCAGACCCGTTTCGAACTGTTCATTTTCGTGTTCTCGAAATGGGCAATTGTCGGGATCATTGCGACGGTAGGCATCTCGATGTTTCCGTTCATTCTACCGTCTTCGGTACAGCCCGAAGCGAGCCTGACTGTCTGGGATGCGTCTTCGACGCACAGGACGCTGTTCAACATGCTGGTCGCAACAATGATCTTCCTGCCCATCATCCTTGTCTACACGGCATGGGTCTACAAGGTGCTCTGGGGCAAGGTCGACGAAGAAACGATCGAGCGCGACAATCACACGGCTTATTGAGGAGACAATCGCATGTGGTATTTTGCCTGGATCCTTGGAATGCCGCTGGCCTGCTGCCTGGCAATCCTGAATGCCATGTGGCTTGAACTCAGGTCAGATGACGAACGGCATGAACGGGAACGCCGTCAGCGTCTCTGAGTCCGGTCAAACTGGCCGGGCCATGTGTCCGGCCGTTTCCATTCCGGCTCAGTTTATCGCGACCGTGTAGCGGACAATCCGGTTGTTGTCGCTGTCGGAGAAATAGTACTCGTTGCCCCGGATTGCGACGCCCTCCGGGTCATCGAATTGGTTCGCTCCCTTGCCAGGGCGACCTGTTCCGAGCACGCCGATTAGGACGGCTCCACCCTCGGCGTCCGGATCGATCATCAAGATGCGATGAGCGTCCTGATCTGCAACGACAAGCCTGCCGAAAGTATCGACATCGAGATACCTTGGTCCGTAAAACCCGAATTCCGGACCATCGACAGTCTGTAGTTTTTCCAGTTCAGGGGAATAACGAACAAGGCGGCGGTTGAAATTATCGGCGACCCAGACAGATCCGTCCGGTCCTTCGGCCACGTCGTGCGCTCCCGGGTGCGAGCCTGCAGTGGCAACAGCTTCGCCGTTTTCATAGGCGATCAACAGTCCGGTTCCCCCGGCCATGGCATAAATGCGGCCATTGCTGTGGGCAAGTGCGCCTTCGGTACGCGGTGCTGCCAGAACAGCGGTCGGTGCAATATCCAGCGTTTCCAGTCCGCTGTAGACAAAAACGCCGCCCGCTCCCGTCACCGCGACCGCGATACGTCCGTCAGGACCGAAGGAAACATCGTGAACACCGGGCAGTTTTCCCGAACTGTAACTTTCTACCAGCTCGAGTGAATCAGGATCGAGCACGGCGATCCGGTGGCCAAATTTGTCTGCAACGTAGAGACGGCCATCCGGGCCGAAGGCAAGATCGTGCGGGTCGTTCAATTCTTCTGGTCCGGCCTTGTCGAAAGAGGCGAAGGGAGCTGGAGATTCTTGCCCTTTAGCCGGGACCAAAAAAACGAAAGACGAAACGATGGCCGCCATCCCGACACACTTGCGCATTTGCAGTCTCCTCCATAACTACAAATGAAATAGGCGGCGCGATCGTCAAGACCAGAGGAAAAGAGACGCAAAAAAACCCTGGCGATTGGCCAGGGTTCTTCAGGCATCGGCATGATGTTCTCGGCCTACGCGGCTTCAATCTTGGCTGCTCTGAGCTGTTCCAGGATATTCTGCGGAGAAGAGACGCCGTAAGGGTCGGTATTGCAATTGTCGGAGAAGCCGTCTTCTTCGAACCACTGCTCGACAACGCAGTTATCAACGACAGCGCCATAACGCCAGGACCGCATTCCGAAGCCGAGATTGTCCTTGGCGACAAGCATGCCCATCTTGCGTGTGAACTCGCCGGACCCGTCCGGAATCACCTTTGTGTTCTCAACGCCTTGTGCCTTGGCCCACGCATTCATGACAAAAGCGTCGTTGACGGAAATGCAGTAGATCTCATCGATACCCTCTGCCTGGAACTCGCCATGGAGTTTTTCAAAATCCGGCAGCTGGAATGTAGAGCAGGTCGGGGTAAAGGCACCTGGAAGAGAAAACAGCACAACTCTCTTGTCGCTGAAGTAGTCGTCACTGGTTTTGTCTTCCCAGCGGAACGGATTTGGTCCCTCGATTGAATCGTCACGGACGCGGGTGCGAAAGGTAACGAAGGGAATTTTCTTGCCGAGCATGGTTGAACTCCGAATGTATCAATATCTTCAGGGCGACGGGACTTCATGACGGATACTGTGTTGAATTCCAGAACGGGTAAAACGCCCGCCGGGTGCAGAGCACCAAGCATCCGGTAGAAATCGCGTATCGCAGTTGCTGCGTCGCCGCAAGGTGATTTTTTAACTTGAAATGAGTTAAATTCACGCACTAGATTGAGAGTGTCAACTTTGTAATATATTGAAAAAATACAATAATTTCCGTCCTGGAAAATAAGCGAGCAATCACATGGCGCCTGAGAGTTGCTTCGGAATGAGGCTTCATGCCGCACTGCACGGTCGGCATCAGAAGGCGGTGTATCAACGAATTGATTTTGATTTGCAGATCACGCTACGCGCACGGATCAAATCGCGAATGTTCGCTTAGGAAGTTCATCAGATGTCTGTATACAATTGCAGGATTGCTCCCTAGATTGATGCCGCCTCAAAAGGGCGATTCTGTATGGAAATCTGCAAGTGGCAGGATTTGAGTTTTGATGCGTGCTGTGTTTTCAGGTGTGCGCCGGATTTGCATGGTTCTTGCCGTGATCGTCTTTCTTGGACAATTGTCCATGGTTCTCATGCGCTACCTGCTGGGATATGGCTTTCTTGAAATCCAGGATGCGGTCAATTATGCGTTTGCGGCTCTTGTCGCGTTGTCCGTGGCGGTGACTTTCAGCGCCGACAAACACGTGCGCGTCGATATCTTCCGTCAGAAACTGGGCGGGAATGCCAATCGGCGGATCGATTGGCTGGGAGACCTTTTCCTGGCACTGCCCGTATTTTCAATCATGATGTGGATGGCTTACCCGTTGGTGCGAAGTTCGTGGGTGATCCTTGAAGGTTCGCCGGAAACCGGCGGGTTACCGGGCCTCTTTCTGGTCAAGACTTGTCTGCTTGTTCTGCCGACCCTGATAGTGCTTCTGACGCTCGTCAGGGTCATTGGTTTCTTTCGGCGGAATGCTTCATGAGCGCTGATATATTCTGGCTGTTGTTGATGACCGTGGCTGTCTTCTGCTGCATCTTGTCCGGTGTTCCCGTCTTGCTCGCAATCGCCGGTGCCTCGACACTGATCGCTCTATTGGCGGCGATGGTGGGGGACTTCGACCTGGTGTTTTTCCAGGCGGTACCGCAACGGGTCTTCGGCATCATGTCGAACCCGCTTTTGCTGGCGGTGCCCTTGTTCGTGTTCATGGGTCTGCTTTTGGAAAAATCGCAGCAGGCGGAGCGGATGCTCAAAAGCCTTTCGACGGCACTGGGTGGAAACCAGTCGGCGCTCGGACTGTCCGTTGTGCTCGTAAGCGCGCTGATCGCGGCCTCGACCGGGATCATCGGCGCAACCATCGTCATGCTCGGAACCATCATGCTGCCGGCGCTTCTCAAGGCAGGTATCAACAAACACATGAGCAGCGGACTGATCTGTGCCAGCGGAACCCTTGGACAGATTATCCCTCCTTCTATCGTCTTGATCTTGTTGGGGGACCAGGTCTCGAATGCCTATTTCGAGGCGCAACAGGAGGCGGGGAACTTCGCACCGGACCCTGTCACGGTTGGCGACCTGTTCGCCGGCGCATTGCTTCCGGGTCTCCTGCTGGTCGCGCTTTATGCCGGTTATGTCCTTTTCAGGCTGCGGCGCCCGGACACCAAACCGGACAACGCAATTGATCAGTCCCGGATCACTTTCCGGGAGCTGACCTGGAGCATTGCTCCAACGCTGGGGCTGATCATTGGCGTGCTTGGAAGTATTCTCGTCGGCATTGCCACGCCGACGGAAGCTGCCAGCGTCGGTGTTGCCGGTGCGCTGCTGATCTCGGTTGGCGGGCAGGGGGGCACTGTCGGCCGGGTGGCCCTTGCATGTGCCCTGCTGGCCTTGTGTCTTTTGTTCCTGCGCCAGTCCGGCTTTCTGGGGCTGGCGTTCGAAGCGGGAAAGATCAGCTGGACGGTCAAGTCGTTCTATTCGGTTGCCCTGACAGCCATCGTACTTGGACTGCTCCTCACCATTTCCACCTCGCTTGTAAAAAACGGCGTGCTGCTGGCAGCGCTGCGTGAGACCGTGACCATAACCGGCATGATCTTCGGCATAGTGATCGCGGCGAGTATTTTGTCCCTGGTTTTCAGGGGGTTTGACGGCGACGAACATGTGGCCGAATTGCTGCAATCACTGCCGGGTGGCGCTTACGGCATGTTGTTGCTGACAATGCTGGTGATCTTTCTGCTTGGTTTCATTCTCGAATTCGTGGAAATCATATTCATTGTCGTGCCGATCGTCGGTCCGATCATCCTGCAGACAGATATCAGCCCCGTCTGGTTCGCCGTGCTGATTGCGCTTAACCTGCAGACATCATTCCTGACGCCACCATTCGGCTTCGCGCTGTTCTACTTCCGGTCCGTTGCGCCGGAAGACATTCGAACGTCGCAGATCTATGTCGCCGTGATACCGTTCGTGGCGATCCAGTTGCTGGCACTTGGCCTCGTTGCCGTTTTTCCGGCGCTCGCGACCTGGCTGCCCGGAGTTTTGTTTTGATCAGAGGAGATTTGACATGAAAAGACGGGATTTTCTGAGAGCAGGGGCGGTCGCCGCACCTGCAACGCTTCTGGCAGCGCCTGCCATTGCCCAGGGCAAGGTGGAATGGAAGCTGCCGACATCCTTTCCAGCCAAGGCGCCCGGTGTCGGTACCAACGTAACGTCGTTTGCCGACCGCGTCGCGGCCATGTCCGACGGTCAACTGACCCTCAAGGTGTTTTCCGGAGGCGAACTGGTCCCGCCCTTCGGGGTCGAGGATGCCGTCGAACAGGGCACAGCCGAGATCGGTCATTCGACGCCCTATTATGCAGCTTCCAAGAACTCCGCATTGCACTTCTTTTCAGCCGTTCCCTTCGGTATGACCGCAGTGGAAACAACCGCCTGGCTCCGCTATGGCGGTGGGCAGGAGCTTTGGGACGGGATCTATGCCGAACGCGGTCTGAAACCCTTCTATTCCGGCAATTCCGGCGTCCAGGCCGCCGGATGGTTCAAGAAGCCTATCGAAAGCCTTGATGATCTGGCTGGTCTTAACATGCGGATCGCAGGTCTCGGTGGAGAAGCCATGCGCAAGCTGGGCGTCAATGCCGTTTTGCTGCCGCCTCCGGAAATATTTCCGGCGTTCCAGTCCGGTGCGATCGATGCCGCCGAATGGGTCGGGCCAATGCTGGACATGGCTTTTGGCCTCCAGAAAGTTGCCAAATACTGCTACGTCCCGGCCTTCCACGAACCATCCGCAGCGCTGGAAATCGTCGTCAACAAGGACGCCTTTGACGGCCTGCCGACACATCTCCAGGCGGTCATCGCCAATGCAGCTGAAGCGACGTCTGTCGAAACGACGGCACAATTCGACTATTTCAATGCAGTCGCCATGCAGAAGCTGAAGTCGGAGGGCGTGACTTTCGGTGCGTTCCCCGAAGATGTGATTGCGGCACTGAAGAAAGCAGTCAGCGAAGTCATGGCTGAAAATGCTTCCGCCAATCCAAAATTCGCCGAAGTCCAGAAGAGCTACGATGCATTTCTGGATCTTGCAAAAGACTATGCCATCGAAGTGAAAGCGGCCACCTTCACACAACGGGTCTGACAAATCAGGTTTCGGCGGCATGCCATTCATGTCCGCCGGAACCGCCATTCAGCCCGATCCTTCCGGGTGATGTGATGCCGGCAATGCCCTGGGTTCCAGGACGAACCGGGCGATCAGAGTTGGCCAATGACCGTGTTCTTGATGTCGGTTTAGGATTGCCTGGCTGCAGTTTTACCCTGGTTGCCTCCTGCCGCTGTTGCATCCGGCCGAGCCAGTAGAGTGCGGCCAGTGGTGTTGTCGAACCGGTCGTCGCGGGCCAGATCAGTTCTGTCGTGAGCGAAAATGACAAGGCAGATGTTTCGTCGTCGCCGATATTCCTTGAAAATGGTCGTTGCCGGCGCGAGCCCGGCGGGCGATCGATCTGTCGACCGACCACCCGCCAGTTAGCCGCACATACCGGGGGAACGCGGTCTGCGGCTTGTTCAAATGAGAGCAATCATGCGCTCCAGATTTACCATTGCCCGCACACCGTCCCTGATATCCGGGGCGTTCGACGGGCCTCCTTTCAACGCATTTGCGACGTCTGCGATGAGCGCGTTGTAGCCTTTGTGGTCCTCGTTTGCGGCGGCGGTGAAATTTGGTGTCCAGGACAGGGTGTCCGCGCCAACTAGCAATGTTGCTGCAGGGTCTTCTGCCTTGAAGGGCGGATCGCGATAGCAGGCCACATTGATGATGTTGTCCACTTCGAGACGAACATGGTCACCCATGATCTGGATAAATTCCATCGGTGTGCCGCGTGATTGAACAGTTCCCATAATGACTGTCCCGATGACCCCGTTTCCGCATTCAAAATTGAGATGGAAGAGAAGGTGGCCGGGCTTGGGCTCATTCTTGCGAAGTGCCATGTCGGTAAAGTCCGAACCGGCAAACCAGGGAATCAGGTCCATGTAGTGGACACAGTGATGGAGATAGAAGCCTGAAAAATCGACTTCACCGGCAAAATAGGTTGGGGCGGTCATGTAGGTTCCCGAGACACCCAGAACATCTCCAAAATTGCCGCTTTTCAAATAGTTGCCGGCAATTCTGTTGCCGGTCGAATACCGTTTCATGAACCCGAGCAGAACAGGTTTTCCATATTTGTCGGATGCCGAAGCAATATCCGCCGTGTCGCCCGCATTTTTTGCAGGCGGCTTTTCCAGGAAAACTGGAAGGCCCTGCTTCAGAGCTTCGATTGAGGCAACATGGTGAAGGTCCGGCCCCACCGCCATGCCGATGGCATCAAGTCCCTTGTGAGCAATCAGGTCGCGATAGTCGGCATAGACTTCATCTGCGCCATACTGCCAGGCAGCACGCGCAGCTGCTTCCGTATTGACGTCGCACACCGCTGCAACTCTGAGGTCGTTGCGTCCGAGTTGCGGCATGAGCATCTGTGTGGCATGGCGACCGCATCCGATCCATCCGATATTCAACGTCATTGGTTCGATCCCGCCATGGCCAGACAGGACCTGATGAGGGCAAGCCCCGTCCTGAGTTTTTCAGTTTCGTCTTCCCGCGGTGCGCGCCAATGGGCAATCGGCAGACCGACCCTGTCGTCGTCGCGGCGGAACGGTTCCAGCGAAATCGGGCCGTCATATCCGGTGTCCACGAGTGCTCGCATGATGGCCGGCCAGTCCAGATGTCCGGTTCCCGGAAAGCCACGATGATTTTCGTTGGCCTGAAAATGTACGATCCGTGATCCTGCGGCGTGGATGGCACCTGTGATGGAGCGTTCTTCCATGTTCATGTGAAATGTGTCCAGAACAATGCCAAGGCCGGGTGAGGACACCGCGTCCACGACCTCGATGGCCTGAGACGTTGTGGAGACGATATCGGTTTCGAACCTGTTCAGGGCTTCCAGCGCAAGGACGCAGCCCGCCTTTGCTGCGAAAGGAGACACATTCGCAAGCCCTTCCTTTGTGCGATCCGATCGCGCTCTTATTTGCTCTGCACTCCAGGGGGCCGGAGCACGTCCGGCGAAGACCAGAGGTTCGCCGTAGAGCGGGCCGCCAATAACCCTTGCTCCAAGCTGCACCGCCACATCAACGCAGCGTTTCAGATATTCGATCCCACCCTTGCGGCAGGTGGCATCTTCGCTTGCGATGGATCGTTGAAGGTTGACACGGGCTGCAAGCACGACGTCAATTCCGGCGTCGTCCAGCGCCTGCCGTGTCTCTGTCAAGTCAAGGTTGTCTCCGGGTTCGGGAACCAGCAGTTCGACAAAGTCGAATCCAAGATCACGAATGGACTGGAAGAGGCCGAGATTTTCGCGCGTGAACGGACGCACGAATTGCATGGAAATAATACCGACAGGATTTTTCACTTTGAGGCCCTGTGTGTTGTCATCCCTTGACCGCTCCTTGAGTAAGGCCGCTGATCAGGCGTTTTTGAACGATAAGGAATAGTATCGTGGCGGGCAGGGCGCCGATGATGCCGCCTGACGTCAGAAGACCCCACTCGACTTCGTATTCGCCGATAAGGGTCTGAATCGCGACTGTGATGGGTCTCACGTTCCGCCCGCCCAGGGTGAGGGCGTAAAGATACTCGTTCCATGCGGTGATGAAGATATAGATACCTGTTGCGATGATGCCCGGTGTGCAAAGTGGCAGCACGACTCGCCACAAGGCTCCGAGGCGACTGCAGCCGTCTGTCATCGCTGCTTCGTCCAGGCTTCTGGGAATACCGTTCATGTAGCTGGTCATCATCCAGACTGAAAACGGAATGGCTACCGTGGCATTGGCTATGATGAGGGCCAGATGCGTATCCAGGATACCGAGGACCCGCATCATCACGAAAAGTGGCAGGATCAGAAGCACGACAGGAAACATGTTGATGATGAGGAATTGCAGCAGAAGATAGCGCTTGCCGCGGAATGAAAAGCGCGAAAAGGAATAGGCGGCGGTGACCGAAAGGGTGAGGCCAACCACGACAGTTCCCGCTGCGATAATGAAGGAATGGACCAGATTTGTGAGGAAGCCGACCGTGGCGAACAGCCGGACGTAGTTTTCAATTGTCGCTCCGACCAGGCTCGGCCCTTCCGTGAATAATCGGTCTTCCGATGTCAGCGAGGTCAGAAGCATCCACAGATAAGGGCCAAGGGTGAAAGTCAGAATTGCCAGCATCGGCAGATCGACGGTTAGCAGGCGCTTCAAAAGGGATTTTCGGCCGACCATCAATCGATCCCCCGTCCTGCACGGCGCAGATAAACGACAACAAGTCCAAGCAGCATTAGAGTGAAAAGGACGGCCAGCGAAGATCCGTAACCGAAGTCGAGATTGGTTCGCGCCTTGATGAAGGCATAAAGAGGCAACGTGTACGTGGCATAACCTGGACCTCCTCCGGTCATCACGAAAATGACGTCAATCGAGTTGGCGACCCAGATTGTCCGTAGCAGTACGGCAGTGATCAGAACACCGGAAATGCCCGGCAAGGTTATGTGCCAGAATTGTCGAAGTGTGCTGGCGCCATCCAGCGACGCCGCCTCGTAATAACTTTTTGGGATGGACTGGAGCCCTGCAAGAATCATGACCGCGAAGAAGGGAAAACCCTGCCAGGTAAGCGTCAGTATGATCGCATAAAGCGCGGTATCGGGATCGGCAAGCCAGGGAACGGAGGCCTTGATCAGTCCCAGCCTGAGCATGAATTCGTTCAGGATCCCGTAATTGGCGTCATATATCCAGACCCACATGAGCGCGATGACGACGCTGGGCAGTGCCCAGGGAATGATGACGAGCGCTCTGGCCAACGGACGCCAGGGAAATTCCTGATTGAGCAGCAAAGCTGTCGCGAGTCCAAGCAGGAGCTGGGCCGGGATGGTCAGCGCGATCCAGATGACGGTATGTTTCAGAGAAATCCAGAAAACTTCGTCACCAAGGGCCGTGGCGAAGTTCTTGAGGCCGACAAACGTGAAATCCTTGGGTTTCCAAAGAATGTAGTCGTGCAGGCTCATCCAGGCAGCCTGGATCATCGGAAAGAAGACGATGGCGAGGGTAACCAGAACGGCAGGCGAAAGAAGTGCGTAGGGGAGCACTTTTCTGGCCAGGGCTGCCCGGCCCATCGGTTCGTTCATCGTGAGCATGTCTATCTGTCCGTCCGGAGCCGATGATGTGAGCGTGGCGTGCAATTTCGGGTTGGCGCATCCGGCGGTGTTTCCGGAGGCAAGTAAGAAATGCGGTCCATGAATTTCCCGTTGACGTGGTCACCTTGAAGCGGGGTGTTCGGCTCCGAACCGAACACCCCGCCACAGCAAGCTCACGGATTATAAAGTTTGTTGATTTCGGCGTTCATCTGCTCCGCGGTAATTTCTCCCGTCAGGGCACGTTGCATGTTCACCGGCCAGACCGTGTTTACGAAATCGGATGTTTCAGGCGTGTTCGGCAAGAGATTTGCGAATGGCAGGGAGCCGACGGTTGCATCGACAAAACGCTTTTCATGCAAGGTCCAGTTTTCGGAATCCGATTTGGTAACGGGAAGCTGTCCGGTCGCCATGTTGAATTCCTTGTTGTTGCCTTCGCTTGACAGAAACGAGATCCATTTCCAGGCAGCGTCCTTGTTTTGCGCCGACGAGAATATGGCGGTCGATTCATCGCCAAACGCCGTCCAGTGGCCACCACCGCACTCGGGAACCGGCGCAGCGGAAACGGCGTCGCCGAGAGCTTCGACCATGCCATTGGAAGATCCGATATGGTGAATGGTCATTGCCGTCTTGCCGGCCTTGAAAGCGCCTGTGACTTCCTTGAAGCCGTCATTGGGCGCCGATGGCGGGAAAACCTTGTCTTTCTGGAACAGATCAACCACCCACTGGGAACCTGCGACACCGGCCTCGCTCCCGAGGCTGTCCTTGGAAAAGTCGACACCGCTGCGGGAAAGAACCAGGCTTCCCCAGTGATCGTGGCCACCTTTGCCTCCCCGGAAACCAAAGCCGTAAACGTCGGTTTGACCATCGCCGTCAGTATCGCGTGTCAACTTGATTGCCGCATCACGGAAGTCGTCACATGTCTTGGGAACTTCCAGGCCCAGTTCCTCGAACATGTCCTGACGGTAGTACAGGTATAGAACCACGTACTGAACCGGCAGGTAATAGGAGTTGCCATCAGAAGCCTGTGCAAGGTTCAGGAGATTGTCCTGCAAGTCGGCTTTCCCTTCCCAGGCATCGATCCTGTCGCCGATCGGCTCCAGCGCGCCCATTTCAACAAGGCGGGGTTGGGCAAACATCTTCACCATTGCCGCATCGGGTGCATTGCCTGCCACGATCGACGTGTAGAGATTGTCGTAATAACTGTTCCAGGGAATGTTCTCGGCTTCAATCTTGATGCCCGGATTTTCTGCTTCGAATTTGGCGACAAGTTCGGACATCGGATTGTCGGCGTTGTCGAAATGATACCAGAACCTGACGGTTTCATCCGCCTGGGCGGCAGCGGTTCCGGCCAGCAGGCCGAGGGCCAGTGCGACCGATACGAGTTTGGGCATGACTTCCTCCTCTTGAATTTGTTTGTTTTCAGTTACCTGTTAGTTCGCGAAAAGCCCTCCCGGCTTCCGTGGCAGCCAATCGTGCTTCGGGTAATTCGAGGCTCATTTGCATGAACCCATGGACGACGCCCGGATAAAGGATGTAGGGGTCCGTTCGGCCAAGGCTGCGTAGCCGCCGGACAAGATTTTCCGTATCTGAGCGAAGGGGATCGATCGCTGCCGCATTCAAAAAAAGCGGCGGAAGAGCAAGAAGCTGTGCGTCGCTTGCCTGCATTGGTGAAACCAGTGGAGTACTGCGTAGGTCCGTTTTGGCAACGTACCAGTCCCAGTAACGTTTCATTTTCTCTCGGGTCAGGCCCGGGCCGTCCCTTTGGTCGCAATAGGAGACGGTCTGAAAATTCGCATCGTAGACACCGTAAAATAGCAGCGCTGCGTCAGGAAGTGTCTTGCCATCAGCCTGCAGCGAGAGCAGCAGGGACAAGGCAAGGTTGGCTCCGGCGCTGTCGCCTGCAACAGCCGAAGGCCGCCCGCAATCGCGAAGCTTGTCGTGTCCGCCAAGAATTGCTTCCCAGACCGTCAAGCAGTCTTTCAGCCCGTCCGGATAGGGTGCTTCGGGCGCCAGCCGGTAGTCGAATGTCAGAACATGAGCCCCTGATTCAAGACCTAGGAGACGGGCTGCTCTTTCATGCGTATCGCGGCTGCACAATGCCCAGCCCCCACCATGAATGAACATAATCAGCCCGTTTGCATTTGACGGGCTGAGCAATCTGCATTCGATCGTGTGACCTTCGGAAGCCGGAACGGCAAAATCGGTTGAAGTCATCTCCGGCAGGTCTGTATTCCAGCGCTGGTTGGTCTGCTCGGCCAGCGCGCGCCCCTCGACCGGCGAAAGCTGCGTTGGGTCACCCAGACCGGCGTCTTCCATGGCCAGTTTTTCCAGTAGCCACTGCATGCGCTCGGACGGTATGAGGTCAGAGGGAGTTGGCTCTGGCAAAGTCATTGGCCGGGCTCTGGTTTTTCCGCGTCGCCGGTCAGGATGCTGGGACCGAAATCAACGATTGTCGTGATGTGGTGGGACAATGCCTGGACAGCGTTTGTCTCATCTCCCGCAGCCAGGGCATCCAAAATGGCAACATGGCGCTCGGCAGTTTCCAGAAGCCCGCGGTTAGGCTCCGAATTCAGGATCTTGAAACGATGATTGTGGATCAGGCAGCGGCGCAGGATTGGACGCACGGTCGGCATGTCGGCGGCGCTGTAGAGGTTCAAATGAAAGTTCCTGTCGTGCAGTGACAACTGGTATTCGTCATCATTCTTGGCCGCCGCCCGCATTCCGTCGAGATCGGCCTCCAGTTCCTTTCGCAGGAACGGGCCAAAGCGGCTCAGCACCCGTGTGACGCCTCTGCATTCAATGTCATGCCGGATCAGGATAAGCTCGCGTGCATCTTCAATTCGGCTGTCCGCGACGAAAGTGCCGCGATGATGCAGGCGTTCGACCAGACCATCGGTCTGAAGGAACATGAGAGCTTCGCGCACAGTACTTTGGCTGCATTCGAAACGGTTGGCGAGTTCCAGTTCCAGGATGGTCGTGCCGGGGGGAGCTGCCCCAGCATGATTTCCTTTTGCAGGCTTTCAAAGATGACGTGGCTGCGCTTTGCGCTTCTGCGCATCTGCTGTCTGGCCCTGCCCATCTTGCTACTGCCCTGATCGTCGAAGCTTTCAGCCGCCATATCTCGTTTGATCTCTTGTGTATCGATAACGTTATCGATAATGTACCGATAATGTGATGCCGGTCAAGCCTGTGCGGCAAGTGGAGTGTGAGCGACCCCGGTGGAATGCCAAATGCGCCAGGGTCGCGAGACATGGCACAAGGCAGTGGCAGCAGGCGTGCTGAGAGTATTTGGAGGTGGACTTGGCCGAAATTCAACTTCAGGGGATTGTTAAGAAATATGGTGCGTTCTGCGCTGTGAAAGGGGTTGACCTTGAAGTCGGGGACGGAGAGTTCGTGGCATTTGTCGGTCCGTCAGGATGCGGCAAGAGCACACTCCTTCGCATGATTGCCGGTCTTGAGGAAATTACCGGAGGGCAGCTCAAGATCGCCGGTAAGGTGGTGAATGATCTCGAGCCACGAGCGCGGGATATCGCGATGGTGTTTCAGGACTATGCGCTTTATCCGCACATGTCGGTTGCCGAAAACATCGGTTTTGGATTGAAGATGCGCGGAATGACGGCGGACGAACGGCAGTCTCAAGTGGCACAGGCGGCCGACATCTTGCAGATTACCCAACTCCTGCACCGCAAACCCGGCCAGTTGTCCGGCGGACAGCGTCAGCGCGTTGCGATGGGACGGGCAATCGTACGCCGTCCCAAGGTGTTCCTGTTTGACGAGCCCCTGTCGAATCTGGACGCCAAGTTGCGCGTGGACATGCGCACGCAGATCAAGCGTCTGCACGGTCTCCTCAAGACGACAACAATTTATGTCACCCATGACCAGGTCGAAGCGATGACGCTGGCGGACAGGGTGGTTATTCTCAAGGATGGTGAAGTGGTACAACAAGGGGCACCGGTCGACGTCTACACATCTCCGAAAACGCGATTTGTCGGGGAGTTTATCGGGTCGCCCAAGATGAACGTTCTGGATGGAACTTGCAGCACCGGGGAGGCCGGGGCGGCAATCAGGATCGGAGGCGTTCCGATTTCGTTGCCTGGGAAAAGATTTCCGGCGGCGGGAAAAATTCTTGTCGGCGTCAGGCCCGAGCATCTGACGCCATGCGACGCGGGTGAAGCAATGTTTCAGGCAACAATCGACGTTCTGGAACCGCTTGGGTCCGACACAATGGCAATCTGCATGCTGGATGGACAGGAATTGACCGCCCGTCTTGCTCCCGATCCTGCCTTGCGTCCGGGCAACGTACTTCATTTGAAGGTAAGCCCGCAGGATGTTCATCTGTTCGATGCTGAGACGCACCTGCGGCTTTGACGCTGGAAGGCTGAAGCAGTCGGTTCACCGCATTCAGGGGCAACTTTCAAGCGGCACACCTCATCAGACACAAGCAAGCGCGCAAACCGTTTTGTATCTTTGTGAAACCAAGGTTCGCACCTTTCAGGTTAGGTACTTGAGAGGCCAGCTGGACACGTTCCTGTCAACGCACCTGGTTTCAAGTTCAGTTGTAGTAGAAAACTTCTTCCATCATGGACCACTGCTCACCGTCCGCGCGTGATGCCAGGGGTTCCTGGCAGGGATCGGTCAGCGTCCACCATCTCTGCGTTTCCGGGTCTTGCGCCATTCGTGCCATGTCAGCCGAAAAGTCCTCACCATGGTACTCGAGGTAGCCAAACAGAACGTTTTCCGGCTCGCGCAGAAAAATTGAATAATTGCGGATGTTGCTGCGGGAAATCTGCGCGAGAACACTTGGCCAGACGTCTGCGTGCAGTCGCTTGTATTCCTCAATCTTTTCAGCTCGAATGCCAACCACCATCCCGATACGTTGCATTTTCAATCCTTCATGTTCTGACAATCCATCCTTTGCATCATATGCGGCTAGGACGTCACACAGACGTTGTGACCTGGGTCCGAAAGGCGGCCAATCGCTTCCCAGTCCCAATCAATACCCAGGCCAGGCTCATCGGAAGGGATGGCGAAACCGTTCTTCACGTTCATCGGTTTGCGCGTCACGTCGTCGAGTTGGGGGATGTATTCCAGTGTAGGAGCGTTGGGTACCGCACAAACAAGCGCAACATGCAGTTCCATCAAAAAGTGCGGGCAAACAGGGACGTTGAATGCCTCAGCCATGTGGGCAATCTTGAGCCATGGCGTAATTCCGCCAACCCGTGCCACATCGGCCTGCACGATGTGGCAGGCTCCTCTTTCAAGGTAATCCTTGAATTGGCTCAGACTGTACATGCTTTCACCCACGGCAATCGGAACGCGTGAGCGTTGTGCGAGGACCTGATGCGCACCGATGTCATCCGCGCGCATTGGTTCTTCAAACCAGTCGATGCCGACATCTGCCAACATGTCCGCACGCCGGATCGCCTCCGCGAGATCAAATGACTGGTTCGCATCAACCTTCACGCGGAATGCGTCGCCAACGGCTTCCTTCACAGCTGCAAGCCTGCTGCGATCTTCGGCGATCGTGGGTTTTCCTATTTTTATTTTGGCACCGGTGAAGCCTGCGTCCTTCATCGCGACCGCATCGGCAACAAGCGCTTCTTGCGGAAGCTGCAACCAGCCTCCTTCGGTCGTGTAGAGCGGGACCGATTGCTTGACGCCACCAGCCAGGCGCCAAAGTGGCAGGTTGGCGCGACGGCAACGCAAATCCCAAAGGGCAGTGTCAATGCAGGCAAGCGAAAGGGATGTGATCGGGCCAACGGACGTTGCGTGGGTGGAAAACAGCAGATCTTGCCAGATGCCTCCGATTTCTTCTGCTTCTCGCCCCATCAATTTCGGCAGCAACGTTTCTCGCAAGAGGCTGATGATCGCCGGTCCACCTGACCCGATGGTATAGCTGTACCCGGTTCCGACGTTGCCGTCTGCATCGGTCAACCGGAGAATGGGCGTTTCCTGACTCACGAAGGCCTGGATAGCATCGGTGCGTTCGACCTTGGGCTTGAGGTCAACCATAGTCAATTCCGCCCGCTTGATCACTGCCATGCGCTGCTTCCTTCTCTTCGCCTCAGGTCAGATGCATCGACGTGGCCACGGCAACAAGAAGCAGCACGGACAGTCCCTTGAGCCGATTGATGAAGGCACAATGGCGCGATGATCCCAAACATCTGTCTCGGACATTGACTTGGCCATGATCTGACCGCATGGGAATAGCGGCATCCAGCTGTCCGGTGTGCGTGATGGAGCGCGACAGGAGCAATGTGCAAGACGCCGGTTGCCGGAGGTTGCAGCGCTCGCAGGGTCTTGCATGACTGCGCATCACGGTTCACGCTTTCAGTTCCTCGCATCAGGTCCCAGCCGATAAGCTTCTATTGCGTTGCTGAACGAAATGTCCGCCTGCTGATCAGCGGGAAGGTTCGTGATCAAGTCCCGTGCCGTGTCCATAATTCTTCGGTATGGCGCAGCAAGAAGGCAGACGGGCCAATCCGAACCGAGCATGCATCGTTGCGGTCCGAATGACTTTATGATGTGGTTTGCATAGGGTGTCAGATCATCGATGGTCCATGCATTCCAGTCTGCCTCGGTCGCCATACCTGACAGTTTGACCCAACAGGTCGGTGATGCTTTTGCAAGGTCTTCGATGTGATCTGCCCAAGGCTGCCAGCCACCCTTCGCGATTTCCGGTTTGGCTATGTGATCCAGCACCCAATGCATGTCCGGCAGGTTCCGTACCGCACTGATGGCTGCCGGTAACTCACGTGGACGCAGTAACAGGTCATAGGCAAGTTCTTGGGCATGAATGGCGGACAGTCCGCGTTGAACGTCCTCCCGCAACAGCCAGTTCTCGTCTTCCTCGTCGTGAACCTGATGACGAATGCCAACGAGATAGGTTCCACCCTTTCCCGATTTCAAGGTCGTGATCTGTTCGAAAACATCGGGTGAGCTCAAATCGACCCAAGCCACGACCCCGAGGATCATGTCTGTATCCGCTGCAGCTGCCAGAAATTCCTGGGATTCTTCGAAACTGCTCCGGGTCTGCACCAGAATGGTGCCTGTCACTCCAGCCGGACCGGTTACCGCGAGCAGGTCGTCCGTGTCGAACCGACGACGGATGGCATCAAGTTCTGCCGTCATCCAGGGATAGTCCGTTTTTGCTGTATCCCAGAGATGATGATGCGTGTCGATGAGACGGTTCATTCGGCAGCCTCCTCTGTGGAACCATGAATATGATGCATGATGCGCTCGCTGACTGCGTCGTAATTGCGATCATTCACGATTTCGCCACGCAACTCGAACTCATCCATGACGAGAATTCGGTCGGCGACCGTGACCATTTCAGGCATGTCGCTCGTGATAAGCAATATTGAAGTGCCTGCGTCGGAAAGTTCCCGGATCAATTCGTGGACGTAGGCTTTTGTCTTGATATCAACACCAACGGTTGGTTCGTCCACGATCAGGATTTTGACGTTTGCAGCCAACCATTTGGCGACACTGACCTTTTGCTGATTTCCACCTGAGAGATTGCCGACTATCTGTCGCAAGGACGGCGTTCGCACTTCAAGCTTCTTGAGTACGGGATCGACAGCACTCTCAACCTTTCCATCCGTCACGAGCCCGATCGCATTCATCAATCGTTTCCAGACGGTGATACCGGCATTTTCCAGGATCGAATGGATCAGGATCAATCCTTCTCCTTTGCGATCTTCACTGACATATCCGATACTGTAGTTGTGAAGAGCGTCAGCTACAGAGCCTATCGAGGCTTTCTCGCCATTGATCAGGATATCGCCGGACGTAACCTTGCCGGCCCCGATCAGCGCTTTGGCAAGTTCTGTCCGTCCTGAACCGACAAGACCGTAAAGGCCCAGAACTTCCCCCTTGCGAAGCTGGAAACTTATGTTGCGATGTCCATCCTGGGTCACAACCTTCTGGACATCGAGAGCTACATCGTGGCCGGAGTTGTCACGTTGGCTCCATTGCGGAATCTGCTCGCTTCTCCCGATCATGAGGCGAACGATATCTTGTCGGTCCAGTCCCGTCAGGGATCGGCTTTCGCAGGCGTTGTGACCGTCGCGCAAGACTGTTACCCGGTCACAGATTTCCTGGACTTCCTCGAGCTTGTGGCTGACGAATACAAGGCTCGCACCATCCTGCCGCAACCGGTTCAGGATACCGAACAATGTCTCCGTTTCGTGCTGGGTCAGTGACGCTGTCGGTTCGTCGAGCAAGAGAATACGGGTGTCCAGTGACAATGCCTTTGCAATTTCGACCAACTGCATTCTGGCTACGTTGAGCTTGTCGACCTGTGTCTCGGGCCTGGCATCGATTTCCAGGAGGTCGAGCCACTTCTGGGCTTCAGCATACAAGTTTGGGTAGTCGATTTTCTTGAATGGCGTGGTGCTCAGCCGTTCCAGGAATATGTTTTCGGCAATGGAGAACTGCGGGATCAGGTTCCGTTCCTGGTGGACGACACCAACCCCGCTTGAAATTGCGTCGCGTGGTGTATGGGGTGAAAACGGTTTCCCGTCGAGCGACATCAACCCGCCGTCAGGTCTATGCACGCCGGTCATGATCTTGATCAGTGTGGATTTTCCGGCCCCGTTTTCACCAAGAAGCGCATGAATTGATCCTGGCGACAACGATAAGCCCACCTTGTCGAGAGCGAGCACGCCCGGAAAGACTTTCGTGACGTCGGTGGCTTCGAATACAGGGTTGCTCATGACGCACCAGCAGCAGCCTTGCGCTGCTCCCTGACTTCACGGATACGGTTCACACTGACTGCCCAGAGGATCAAGCCACCCAGGACGACCTGCACCAGGAACGGGTCGATGTTGAACAGCACCAGAACCTGGGTGATGATTGCCACGATGGCGACACCGCAACAGGTGCCACCGACGCTCACGCGGCCGCCGGTCAGGATCGCGCCACCGATTATCGGTGCGGCAAAGCTCAGGATCAGCCAATCGTCACCGATACTTGGCTGTCCCAGTTGTAGCCGGGCAACCAGCATTATCCCTGCCAACGCAGCAAGAAGACCTGATACCGAGTGAGCAAAGACAACAATCCAGGGCACCGAGATGCCTGACAACTCCGCCGCATGGGTGTTGCCACCCACTGCGAGCACTGAACGCCCGAGTGGCAGTCGGAACAACAGGTACCATAGTGCGATTGCGGACAGCGCAAATGGAACGACAAGCCAGGGGATCGGTCCAACCATTGTTGCATTGCCCAGCCATTTGACGACTTCCGGAACATCATAAAATGGCTGCGCTTCGGTAATGCCGAGATTTATGCCCTTGAAAACAGACAAGGTTGCCAGCGTGATGACAAAGGCCGAAATACCCGTATAGGCACAGAGCAATCCGTTCGTCAGTCCTGCGAACAGGCCTATTCCGAGCGACAAGACTGCGGCGAGCGGCCAGGGCAGGCCCCATATTTCCATCATTCCGGCAAACGAAATCGCGGCAAGTCCACCGATTGCTCCGACCGAAAGATTCATTTGGCCGATCGCGATGATGACCATCTGGGAAAAGGCCACCAGCGCGTTGACCGAGATGGCGAGCAAAAGGATCTGAATGTTGAACGGCGACAGGAACGAGGGCTTCAGTGCACCGACAATTACAATCGCCAACAAGGTGACAATGAAGGGTCCGAACCAGTCCTGCTTCAAAAACTCTCGCTTCATACCAGCTTGTTCCTCGACAGATAAGAGCGACGGGCAAGATCAAGAAGAACTGCCAGGAGCAGCAAAAGACCGAGATAGGTTTGCATCCAAAATGCGCCCACCTGCATCAGCAGCAGTCCGCTGGTCAGCATTGTCACGAGAAAACCGCCGAGAAGTGTCCCGAGAACCGAAACTCTTCCTCCGGTCAAAAGGGTTCCCCCGAGCACAGGGGCCAGGAATGCAGGCAAAAGCCAGTCCTGACCAAGTTGACCCGCCATGGAAGGAATTGCCGCGCCGGTTCGCGAAACCAGCATGAAACCGGCAACGCCGGCAAGAACACCCGACAGGCCGTGGCACCAGACGATCATCCTGTCGACATGGATCCCCGACAATTCAGCCGCAGCTGGACTTGCGCCGGCTGCTAGGATTTGCCGGCCGAGCGAACTATAGACGAACAGCACCCAGAGCAAGATGCCGATACCGATCGTAACCAGCAGCATCGGCGGGATGACACCCCAGAGTTTCATCCGGCCAAATGCGGTAAAGGCGGGAGAAATCTCGCGATACGATTCTGCCTGGGTCAGAAAGATCATGACACCGAACATGATGCTCATGGTTGCGAGCGTTATGACAAAGCTGTGCAGGCCGCTTCGAACGATCAGCACACCATTGACTGCACCGAGGAGACCGCCAATTGCCAGCCCGCCCATCAAGGCAGGAAGCCAGTGCAGGCCAACTGCCTGCATCAACCAGCCGCCTGCCATGGCCGCGCACACGCCAATCGCCCCTACAGCGAGGTTCAGACCGCCGGTGACAATAACGATCATCATCGAGAAGCCGATCATGATATTGACAGCCGATGTCCTGCCCAGAGCGTAAAGGCTGAACTTCGAAAGAAACATCGGGGAAACGGTTGAGAAGATGATCGCAAAGACAACGATGAGGACGATCAGCCCGAATTCATTGCTCAAGAGGAAGCGTTGGATCGGGTCGAAACGGCGTCCCTGTTTGGGTATGGCCGAGGACCCGGTCTTATTTTCGTTTTCGATCTGGGACATTGTCGACTACCGATTGCCGTGCAGGAAAGATGGAGGAGCGGGGTCGCTCCTCCAAGACAGCTGTCAGCCGCAATTCAGGTAGGTGTCTTCGAAACCATCAAAGATCTCTTTGGTGATGTTCTGCATCGAACTGACGTAGTTGTCGACCGCATCAGCACCTGCAAATACGGTTCCGCTGTCGATAAACTTGTCGGTCAACGCGATCGACTTGAACGGAGCATCATCCTTCACAGTGCAGCCGGAACGCAGGCGATCGGCTGCGTAGGAACCCAGATAGCCCTGGCCGTACGGATTCTGAAGCATTGTTCCATGGACATAGCCGTCCTTGATGGCGCCCAGGACAACCTCATCATGGTCGATGCCCACCATCTTGATGCGCTTGTCGCCAATCTTTCGCAGCGCGTTTGATGCGACGACCGCAGGAACCCAGGCAGTCGTGATGATACCGTCAACGTCACCTGCATGTGCCGCAAGATAGGCGTTGATCTTTTCTTCTGCAGGCTCGGGTGCATCGATATCTGCGATCACCTGGACCACTTCGGCTCCTCCTTCAGAGGCAGCTTTTTCGACAGCGTCAATCCTCAGCTGTGTGTTGGGGTCGACCAGAAAACCTGTGAAATGAGCGATTTTCGCGCCCTTGGGAAGAACCTTCAAAAGTTCCTGTGTCCCCAGATAAGCTGAATTGCCGGTATCCGTTCCCATGCAGAAAACGGCTTGGGAGGGATCTTTCAGACATCCCGCCAGTGCCATAACCGGGGCACCTGTCGCAGCAAGCTCATCGGCAATCGCGACTGTACCAACCGGGTCACCTGGAAAGACGAGGAAAGCATTGTAACCCTGGGTCACGAGGCTTTCGAGCATCTGGTTCTGCAGGCTCAATTCCCACTTTTGCGGAACCTTGTAGTCTGCAGCTCCCAGTCCAAAATCCTTGGCAGCGTCTTTTCCTGCCAGCTCCCAGGCAGCAAAGTACGGATGCGGGCCGCCAGGAACCAACGCGACCCGTGTGCTGGAATCTGCCATTGCCGCGGTCGTTCCTAACACCAGTCCCGCAACGGCGGCGCACATGGTTGATAGCTTCTTGATGTTGGTCATTATCCTAAACTTCCTCCCGGTTTCGAGTTTTCAAGCTTTCAATACGCCTTTTTCTTACTTGTATGGTAATATACAATTATGTGGTCGGCAAGCGGAGTTGTCAGGAAACATCAACGTGTGGAAACGCACGCTGAGCGGTTCGTCTTTCTCTCCGTTGCCACCTGAATGAAAGTCAGTGCAGCTGCCTGTCAGCAGGAAAGCGGCGGTATCCATGCCCTCGGGGGGGAACTCGATCGCAACGGATTGGGACGCTCGGCCGGCAAGCCGAGTGAAAGGTTCCAGCCGCCTCTGACTGATCCCGGTTCAATGGTCGGTGCGATCCGTTGCTGAGTTCATATGTTCAGCAACCAAGGACGGGTTGATGCGCAAATCAGCGATGCGCGATACAAGGCGATCAGGATATTTCTTGAAACATAGTTTGCCGACTTCAGAGGAGCCATGGCGTTGCCTTTTGAAAGCGCGTTGCAGCAGAGCCGGCAACGCATTCCCAGTATGATTCAAGCAGGCGAGGGGGCATCATCGGTGTATCGTCTTGCGCGACGCGCGGGTGGCGTGCAGGCCGGTATGGTTTTCAGTCTTTCCCGGGCGGCGATGATCGGATTGACTGTTAGCATTGTGCTTGAATTGGGTACGGGAGGTAAGACGACCGATGCGAGGGCCCGGCCTTTGCCCATTCAGATGTGACGCGCAGAGCCTTCAATTGGCCGGGCGACCTGGGCGATCAATCGGTGTCAATATCGCCAAAACGCCAGTGTGATTCAGACGAAGTGCCGAGCGCGATCACTTGTCTCACGTCCGGTCTTGTGAGGTTATTAAAATCTAAGTTATTGAAAAAAAGAGAAAACGTGATCAAGTCATTGTCACAGTTCGAAATATTCCGGGTGTTCTTTCGCTGCATCGGCAATCAGGTGATTGGCACGGCGCAAATGTAATGTCATGGCCGCCAGTGCCTCGGCTTCGTTGCGATTGCAAATTGCTTCTGCAATTCTTCGATGCTGCTCCAGGATCGTTGATGTTTCGCGCTGTGACCTGATCGCGTATCTGAACCTGTCCATGTGCATCTTGACACGTTGCACTTCAGGCCAGATTTCCGCTACCCCGCAATGAACAGCAATGGCCTCGTGAAAGGCTTCATCGGATTCGAAAAACGAGTTTTCGTCAGCAAGCTCCGAGTGGACTGTTTGCAGCTTTAGCTCGCGGTCAAGCGCCATGCAAAGTTCGCTATTGTCCTCAAGCTCGATGGCCCTGCGTACCAGCGCCAGTTCGAACGCTTCCCGCATGAATTGCGACTTGCGAAACTCCGCATCCCGCATCGGCGCCACGATTGTTCCACGCTGTGGCACGATGTCGAGAAACCCCAGGCTTTCCAGGCGAAGAAATGCTTCACGGACGGGCGTTCTGCTAACACCAAGTTCCTTCGACAGCTGTACTTCGGATAATTTTTCGCGTGGCTTGATCTCAAGCCGGAGGATCATCGCGAGGATTGCATCATAGACACGATCCGTCATGGACTGCCCGACGATCCGCTGTTTTAGGTTCTCAGAAGTGTTCATTTGGTCCGCTTTGCATCAGCGTCGCCATTGACGGCTTAGTCTGTCGTTGAATTTAATATACTAATATACAGGCTTGCTGCTGCAAAGGAAACAGAGTGACATCAGGGCGTGCAAAAATGATCGATTTACCTGGTCCGAAAGGCGCGCGCGCTCACCTTTGAACGATTTGCATGTCTCCTGAAAGGCGGCCGGGTTTACTTCCTGGCAGATCGAGACACGTTTTGCTGCTGTCTTGCCAGTTCCGGGTACCGTGACGACTTTTCGCTGAAGTGGACCCTCGCATCCCGTATGACGCGCAAGATCCGGCCGGCCAATGGAAGAAACACGTCGCCACGATGCGTTTCACGCTTGATCGGACTTAAGCGAACCAGCTCCTCCAGATCAAAATTCAACTGGACCGGAAGCGAACAAAACCTTATCGGTCAAGACGAAACGGTGGCATGAGACAGATCGCCCCATCCTCGACAAATGGGCAAACCACGGTCGAGTGGCAGAACCACACGTTCACCGGTGCGATCGGCAAGGTATATGGCCGTTGCCAGTTCAACCGCAGCCAGCCCATCAGACAAATTAACCACGGGGCTGGGCCTGCCGTCCAGATGATCGGCTATCGCCTCGAAATAGCCGGCAAAACCTTCCCGGCACTGGCTTGTCGCCCGCACAACGTTGTCGAATTCATTCTGTCGATCGGCGTCACGCGCGGTAAATGTCCAGTTGGCCTCACCGGGTGCATATGGCTCCTGCCTGCTTTCCGCAGTCGCATGCTGAAACACCATTTTCAGCCGTGAGGTATCATCAGCGGCACCAAGTGTGACCGAGGAGGTAACGAGCGCGCCGGTTTCCATGCGCATTGCAATTGCCGCGCAGTCTTCTGTTTCAATTGCGTTGATGGATGTGTTGAGAAGTGCGGAAACATTGGCAGCGCGACCGAACTGGGTCGAGATCAAATCGTGGATATGGATGGCATGACTTAACACTGCCCCACCCAATTCATGAGCCAAGGTGCCACGCCAGGGTGTAGCGTAGTAATCGGCTTTTCGGTTCCAGTGAGTTTCCAGAGAGGCGACACGCGGTGCGCCGAGCAGGCCGGCATCCTTCAATCCCTGGAGCTGGCGAAACGCGCGACCGTAACGGTATTGAAACACCGGAAAGATCTTCCTTTCCGCCTTGCGTTCCGCTTCACATAGGCGATCGGCATCCGCAACTGATCCGGCAAGAGGTTTTTCAACGACGACATGCTTTCCTGCTGCCAGGGCGTCCATTGCGATGGGGACATGCAGGCGAGGAGGCAAGCAGATGTCCACGATATCGATTTCCGGGTCACGGAGCACTTCAGAGATGGATGTCGAGAACTTCGCACCGGTTCGGTTGGCCTGTGCTTCGGCCAGTTCCTTGTTTAGATCGCAAACGGTCCGAACCTGGAAGCGGTCTGTCAGTTGAAGCAAGCCACTGATGTGCTGAACACCGATCCCGGCGCCGAGTACGGCGACCTGATAGGTCATTTCAGGGTTCCCAGGCGAGTGGCCTTTGCCTGCGCCTTCAAGGCCAGCTCCATCACCTTGAAGCAATGCGCCTGCGACATTGCGGTTTCCGAGCGGGTGTTCACATCGTTGATGAGATTGGCGAAATACGGGAGGTCTTCTCCGGACGCATCGATGTATTCGCAGCGGTCCTTGTTGACGAGGAAAACATGATCCGTGCCGCTCCGCCCAGCGATATCAACATATTTGCGCAATTCGATCTGACCTTCCGTGCCTGAAATGACCAGGCGGCCGTCCCCCCAGGTCGGCAGCGCATCAGGTGTATACCAGTCGACACGGATGTAGCCCTGCCGGTTGCCGGACCGAAGCAGGATCTCGCCGAAATCCTGCAAACCCGGGTCATCGGGATTGGCGAAGTTACCCACTGAAGACGTTATGATTTCAGCGTCCTGTGAGCCTGTGAAAAACAGAAACTGGTCAATCTGGTGAGATGCTATGTCGGTCAGAATCCCGCCATACATCCGATCGTCGAAGAACCAGTCCGGCCGTGTTGGCCGGTTGAGCCGATGAGGACCGAGACCGACCGTCTGTATGACTTCCCCAATCGCACCATCCCTGACGAGTTCGGCAGCTTTGCTGACAGCACGCACCTCGAAGCGTTCCGAAAAATCGATCGACCATATCCGGCCAGTTTCCGCGACACAGGCCTTGATGTCTTCGAGTTGCTCCAGGGTTGTGCAACCCGGCTTGTCCAGCATGACATCCTTGCCCGATCGCATCGCTTCCATGGCGCGGTCCGCCCGGCGCGCTGGAACATCGGCGATCAGGATCATGTCTATCTCAGGATCGTCCAGAAGCTTGCGAAGATCCCCGACCCTTGGCACGTCAGGAAATCGTTTCAAAAAGCCTTCGACTGGCTGAGGCTCTCCTTCGGTCCACCAGCCCTTGCAGGTGCATCCCAGTTCCATCATGCCCGAGAGCTGGCCGAAGATATGGCGGTGGTCGATGCCCACCACCCCGAGTGTCAGGGGGGTCATAGTTTTGTCCTCAAGAATGATTGAGCGAGACGTAGGCGCGTTCGGCCGAAGATTTTTCCAAAGCCGCGATAAGGGCATGAACCTGTAATGCGTCGCGTCCGGTCACACGCGGTTTTTGCCCAGACTGTACGGATTTGACGAAATCGGCGATCAAATCACGGTGCCATTCATGGGGAAACGCCATCGGGTCCGTACCGCCACCGGTCGTCGTTGTCTCACCGAATACGGAACGTTCGCCCAACCGCCAGTCGATGGTCAGGGTTCCTGACTTCAGGAGCACGCTTCCCTTGTCGCAATCGAGGCGGATGGATTCTGCTTCCCCCGGGAAGGCAGCTGTTGTTGCAAACAGGGACCCGACCGCACCAGATTCAAATTGCAGTCCTCCCGCCACAAAATCCTCTGCTTCCATCTCATGGAAAGATGTCGTTGCCGCGAGGGCCTGGACCGCCGCTACCGGACCGGTCAGTGACAGCATCAAGTCGAGCGTATGGATCGCCTGAGAGATAAGCACGCCGCCGCCATCGCGCGCATAAGTGCCGCGTCCGGGCTCGTCATAGTATTTCTGATCGCGCCACCACGGCACGTCGACACGCACGGCACGGATTTCACCCAACGCACCTGAGGCGAGCAGCCCCGCCAGCTTTTCGCTCGCCTGGCGAAATCGGTGCTGCAAAACAACACCCAGGTTGACGCCGTTGCTCTCGCAGATCCCGACAATTCGCCGAGCTGCCTCTTCGCTTCGCTCCAGGGGTTTCTCACACAGAACATGTTTGCCGTTGGTCGCGAACAGACGAACCAGGTCCTCGCGCGCATTGGGAGGCGTCAGGATGAGAGCGGCGTCAACAGACGGATCGGCAGCCAGTCTCTCGGCACTCTCGGCAACGGCGAACCCGTGTTCACTGGCGAATGTCGCCCGCGTTCCTTCACTGCGGGCGTAAATTCCCTTCACGTCAATGACATCTGCCAGCTCCTTGAGAGCACCTGCATGCGGTTTCGCCCCCATGCCGCAACCGATGACCGCCAGGCCGAACTTTTTCACGTCTGCACCCCGTTGGTGATGACCTTGCCGTTGGCATCGAACAGGTGCATCTGCGCCCTGTCAAAGCGCAGGTGAAGGGTTTCGCCGTTTTCGATCGGCAACTGCCCTGGTTGATGAATGGTGAGCTGCTCGATCCCGTCGACTTTGCAATAGAGGTAGGTCTCCCCACCAAGTTGCTCGGACAAAAAGACCTCGGCGATTGCATCACTGGAATTGGGGGCATCGGTGAGCAGTATATGTTCCGGCCGGATACCGTAGGTCACCGTATCTCCAGGCTTGATACCCTGAATTGGCGGCAGCGACACACGCGTGCCTTTTGCCACCAGCGCAATGCCTTCACCATCCTCCTCTGCGGTTGCCTGGACAAGGTTCATGCGCGGCGAACCGATAAAGCCGGCGACAAAGGCGTTTTGCGGATTGTTGTACAAATCGAGTGGCTTGCCGACCTGTTCCACGACACCGCCTTGCAAGACGACAATCTTGTCTGCAAGCGTCATTGCCTCGGTTTGATCGTGGGTGACATAGATCATCGTGCCGCCGATCTCGGCATGCAGCGCGGCCAGTTCCTTGCGCATTGTTACGCGCAGTTCGGCATCGAGGTTCGACAATGGTTCATCAAACAGAAATGCCTTCGGGTCGCGTACGATTGCCCGTCCGATCGCGACCCTCTGACGCTGTCCGCCGGAAAGTGCCTTGGGGCGGCGGTCAAGATAGTCTGTTATCTGCAGCATTTCTGCGGCTTTGCGGACCTTGGTATCAATTTCGGCCTTTGGCATCTTCGAGTTTTCCAACCCGAAAGCCATGTTCTTGTAGACCGTCATGTGCGGATAAAGTGCATAGGACTGGAACACCATTGCCAGACCGCGGTCCGAAGCTGGAATGGTGTTGACCACCGACCGATCAATCTCGACGGTCCCGCTGGTGATGTCTTCCAGTCCGGCGATGATACGCAAGAGCGTGGACTTGCCACATCCGGAAGGGCCTACAAAGACGACGAATTCGCCAGAGTTCACGGAAAGATCGATTCCGTGGATCACCTCGACAGTGCCATAGGACTTGCGCACAGCTTTCAAATCAATCTGAGTCATTCGCGATCCTTCTTGCTACCGGCTGCGCATCTTGCCGGCCAGGCTGGGTTCGGCGCGTTGCATTCTAAGTGGGGGGAGACCCTTCAGAATCTGACCCACGTCGTCCAGCATGGCTTCACGAATGCGCGCATAGGACGGTCGGATCCCGCCTGCCAGATGCGCGGAATACAGCACTTTCGGTGTCATTCGAACGGGGTCGTCCGGTGCGACGGGCTCTTGTGGAAAGACATCGACGGCAGCGCGGAATCGTCCTTCGCCCGCCAGTTCGACAAAATCCGGGAACGAGACAATTTCGGCTCGACTGGCCAAA